GGCTGGTCGCGATTAGGAGGAAGCGGAGTTGTACCTGTGGGCTTGTATGCTGACGAAACAAAGTATGGAGGCCCATTTAGTGATGAGAAAGTATTAGGCGTATTCATCAACCTTGTATTGCATCGTCCAGCAAGCATCCGCTACAGTCGCTTTTGCATTTTTGCATGCCGATCGGCATTGATTCTGGGAAATAGAACCTTATATCCGATCTTCCATCGCATTGTTTGGGGGTTCCATTTGGCTTTCAAAGGATTGCGGGCTGATGGAGAACTTTTGTGCAAAGACGGTACAAAATTTTTGTGCACTGAGCTGCGGGGTGACCTTGCTTGGCACAAGTGCATTTGGGGGTTTGAAAAAAAGGGTTGGCAGGCCAAAGATGTTTGCTGGTTCTGCGATGCGAAAAATCAAGGAAACGCGTGTCTCTATACAGAGATTGGAGAAAATGCTGACTGGGTTGAAACGATCGTCGAGAACACCTGGGAGTGGGCAAACAACACACTGCCTCAACACAACTTGTGCCCTCTTCTGGCACTTCCAGGATTTCATGTTCACACTGTACGGCTGTGCTCGATGCACAATGTAAATCTGGGCTTGCTGCAAGTTTGCAACGGAAGCGCGCTGATTCTTTGGAACAGTTGAGGTTTGTAGCATTTAATTTTGCTGAGTTGCTCTTCCAATAATTTGCCTGGGGGCATTCCGAACAAAACTATTTTTGGGCCCATTTTATTTTCCTTATTTGGGTTGCCCAACGCCCAGGATAGGGCTGATCGAGGCTGGCTTTTACGGGTCTCCAGAGGACAGCTTGAAACTGAATCTGTCCAGGGCGCGTCGTGATTTTGAGATGTGGCGCAAGCAGAACAAGATCCAATGCTCACAGGGTCCATGGGCTCCAGGACTTGTGGCTAGACAGCATAGATATTGTACTGTACAATTTACCAGAAAAAGAACAACCTTTTTGCCGCGCACTGGTGTTAAAGTGTTTTTTGTTTCCGCTTTGTGATCTATGTTCTTGATTTAGGTACTGCAAGAAAGTATCAGGTAAAGAATTGGTCAAGTGATCAGGGGTTATGCCACATATTGTCCCTGGCCTGCTGTGGTAAGGTTGTCAAAAAGAATGGGAATATTTGCATGACTCACAAAGCGTTCAATGGCAGAATCATTGTTGAGTACTTAGCGAATGCTTGCTCACTGGCTTCGTCCCGGACAGTTCCTGGAAATGGCCGCAGTTTGGGGGTTTGGCTTCAAGAGCAGGAGCAGGCAAACAATCCCAGGTGGCCAGATGCACAGGATCCAGAGCTGGGACTTGCTTCCAAATGCTTGCTAATTGGCTGAGTGGTAAAATTTGTGTTTTTTTGCTTTGCGGGTTTTTAGCATTAATAGTGGTGAACCGCATGGTTCATTATCCACCTGCTTAGAACCCTGGCCAAGGACATCCATGGCCAGATGGCTGAACTTGGTGGAAAGAAATGGCAGGTACTTGTATCTTGGCTTTTGGGTAGGGTTTTCTGTTCCAAGGCCTAGTATAGTATCTCTACTTGTTCCAGGGTTGGGTTGTTCAAGTAACTTGCCCGTCAAGTTTTGTCACCTCTCTGCAATTGCTGAATTCAAGGTCTACAATCGCGGCAAATGAGATGTATGCAGCTGGTTTGCAATTTTGCAAATTCCACCTTTTGCTGACTACGCTCTCCATGAGGACTGGGTTTGAGATGCATGAAAATTTCAATGTTAGGGATGTTTTTTGGTTTGAAGATTTGCCCAAGATAGATTGAAACCCAAAAAGCCTGGGGGAAAACAACCTGCACGCATGTACACTGATTCCATATTAACACGATGTTGTTCGGGTCGGGGTTGAATCATTTTGCAATGGTCGGGTGATTTTTGGTTGGTACCCCCAGGAGGTTACAAGCAGGACATCCTTCGCCGTTGAAGCATCGAGTCGTGAAATGGATTTGCAAGCCCAAATTTCATTATTTTTGTCATCAATTGTTGGGCATCAAAAGATTCAAAGAAAACGTGCGTCACACGCACTGTTTCACTGATGAGGACGCAATGCGTTGGTTAAAGAATATTAGCAGAAAGGTTTCAAACAGATCACAGTTTGAAAGGACGCTGATGAAAGTGTCAAGGCTGCGTTTGGCTTTGACGCGTCGCAAAGCGAAAATTCAAAACAGAACCGCTTCTAGGCGAAGCCGGCGGTGATTGGTCATGATTTCGCTTGGGTTTGATCAGAAAAGATGGGAGTGTGGCGTTAGGGTTTTGTTTTTGTATATATTTTGTTAGCCATTACGCTGTTGGCAAAACCTTCATGATTTACCTATGAGGGCTGTTAGCAGAACGGCCCTTCCCAGCATGGCTTTTAGCTAACCGCTCTGCTAGCGGTGGCTGTTGGAAGTACCAGGGAACAATCATATAATTATATATTTATAATGCATACATTATATATATCTATATAATTCAGGGATTTCGGAGCTAGCCATGTTTGTTGACACCGGATGGCGCGTGTTTTTTTTTCTGGCTGAAGTCTAATAAGACTAATAATCGACACACGGCTGAAAATAGCTGAACTGGTTGGTGGTATACCTACCCCTCTGAAAAATATTGTTCAGTTGGGATGATGATTCCCAATATGGAAAAATAAAAAATGTTCCAAACCACCAACCAGTGAAATAATGCCCTTTGGGGATGATTTCCCTCACTGATCATCAGTCCAGTGACGGAAAACGACGTTTGGGGTTGCGATCAATTTCATCCAGACATTTACCAGAGGGTGTCAACCATAACAGCTCATCGACACTCCATAGTACCCTCCGGTAAACTAACATAACTATGGAAAATCACCATTTTTAATGGGAAAATCCACTATAAATGGCAATTTTCAATAGTTATGTTAAATTACCAGAGGGTATCATCATTTTATCTCCATTTTTGGATTTGCTGAAGGACCGCCCCCCTCGATCGATTGATCGATTCCCCAGTCGTAGTGGATTTCCCATTGGGAACGTGCCAAAATCGATGCGAAAACCTTCACCCAGGTAGCTTGCTTTATAAACTATAGTTAAACCCCCTGTAAACTGGAGGCTGTCAACAAATATTCCATATCTTTCCATATCTCAGTGACATACTACTGTAGTACCAATATATATATATATATATATCAGTATAATTATATATATATTATATATATATATATTATATATATTATATATATATTATATATATTATATATATATTATATATATATTATATATATATTATATCTCCCCATTTTATCATGATTTTCTCTCCATGTTTACAGGTTTGGAGATAGAAAAAGGGGACAATTTTACCTAATTTACCTCCATTATATCCCCATGAATTCCCCATGGATTTCCCCATGAAAAACCACCATGTTTGGAGAACCTATAAGATCATCCAGGTCCGCTTTTCCAAAGCCCAACCTGCTGTGTTGGTCGTGAAAAAAAACGTCAGAAAATGTAAAAATCGATGGAAGAATTCCGCCAAAAAGATGCCGAAAAGGTTCAGCTCATCACTATGTTTATTTGGATTTTACTAAACTCGATCTGTTTTTGGGTGGTACTTTTTCCGGAAAAATGATGGGAAAATGATGGACAATCAATTCTGGCATAGTAACGTGGGTAAACCCAATGCCATCAACAACTAGCAGGGATAAGTTTCAATCCCAACCAGTTTTGGTGAGTCATTGGGGATGGTTTATGGCATTGGGCTTGCCATACTATAGGAAATCTATAGATTAAATTAGGGATTTTGAGCCAACTAGTGGGTAATATCTGCAATGGATGTTACCCAAAGCTTGAAGCTAAATTGATTTGATTCTCCATCTCCAGCGATGTTTATTTTGCCTTCATAAATTTTGTGGGACCCCACTATCGCTCAACAAGTGCCATGTGGGAACACCAATGGCTTCAGAATCTTCCCTGCAATGGCTTTTCCATCGTCCACGAGTATGTGAAAATGACAGCTGTGTTGGAGACACTGTTGTCTGGTGACATGTTGTTTAACAGATTATGTGTATGTGTTTGATTATATGTGTATATGAAAATATGTTGAAGAAGCATCTTGAAACCCGGACCGAATGATAGAATACGACTCAACATGATTTGATAGAACTGACAGCCATCCATAATAGCTTGGCCACATACCCTTATATAGCAATTGACACCTCCAATCAGACACAGGTGAGTCATATCTAACATATGTTTATCTCAGCATGTATATATAATGATTTTGGTTGTTTCCTTTGGCGATAAAAACCCCAGTATACCCAAGTAATATCGACCCAATCATCCCAAACTCAGCCACTAGCGGCGACCTTTTTCCGTTTTCGCAGCTAGCCTGGCTTGTAACTACCGCCGTTAATGGGCCAAATAGGCCTTCGAGCAACCCCCAATATCTCACGGAAAGTTGAACAACTAAAGCTATCAAGCAAACATCCGACTATACACAGTATCAAAACTTATTATGTTCTCCTACTCTCCTACTATCTATTTCCACATTTCTCAAATCTATTTGGGGGTTCATAGGTCCTATGTTGGACAACAGGTTTTTACATGCATTTCAACTTGAACCTGGGGGCTGCGATACTGAGCATTGATCACCTGATCAGCCTGATCTGGCTGTCATTTCTATGGCCTGGAGCAAGCCGGTTCCGTATGATTCATCCAGGCAAACCCCATGACGGATCCTAACGGTGCTGCTATATACGGTGTGCCATGGATCCCATCAATATACCCCCGTTTGGTGAGCATATATACCAGCACCATGGATTCATATAGAAACAGAAAGATCTAGCGGAATCTACCGCATCACATGCATTGATTGAGCTCACATCTCTGGACACTTCCAGGGCGATTGGGGCCCAGGGTGCCCAGGTGCTGCACCAAAATGGGAGGGGCACGGTTTTTCATCGTGGAAAACCGTCCGAACCACGGCGCGGAAAACCACGGCGCAGCGGCGAGTTGTGCCATTGATCTCAGGCGATCTCAGGTGGTGTAGAAATCAGAGGCTGCAATCTGCAGAAAAATGTCGTCATCTTCTTCCTGCTGCAGAAATTTTCGGCACACCAAATCTGGCATGGACCTGGGCCTGACATGGCCTGACCACTTGGGTCCACTAGGTGACCTGGACACTGATTGGATCAATGGTAGTTGGACCCTGAAGGTAGCAATCTATAGGCATTTTTGATCAATTTTGCCCCAAGGATTTTGAAGTGAAAAGAATGCAGAAGGGCCGTTCTCTTCAACTTTTCACCTACACACATAATACATACCAATACCTATCAAACATTGATGTGCCAAAACCTTGGTCAAAAAATATGGAAATCACAATCCGATGACGATTAGCCAAGAGGCCATCGTATACTTTGACGAAAATCATTTGGGGTAAAGATATCTCAAAAAACGGGGGCTACCCAACAACATGTTGGATGGTTTAAGAGCACACAATCACCAAACTTTTATCGGCCAAACAAATATATTCACCCATTTTCGATCCAGGTTTCAACAACAAAAATAGGAACAAGTGGATGTTTGTAGACCAATCCATCAAAGATTCTGATTGGTGGTTTTAACCATCTTGAAAAATATGAGTTCGTCAGATTGGATCATCATCCCAAAAATTGGGGAAGTCATAAAATTCATGTTCCAAACCACCAACTCAATGGGAATTTCAGGAACCTAAATTGGAGGTACCTACCATATATAAGGCCTAAATTTCAGGGAATATACCCACAATTCATATGGCCAAACATATGGTACAGTTCCGTACCTCCATCTGTTGGATCCTGAAGATCTCCCATTGACCAACCAGCATCATCCCCAGTCACTAACTCCTGCCAGCTGTCGGCTTCGTCGCTGTTGCCGTCACCGGTGGAGCCGGTTTCTGCTTCAGAAAGGCCCGAGGGACCGGAAGGACCCGACACATCTGGGGTACCTGACGCTGCTTAGGAAAGGCTTATAGTTGTTGGTGCAGTTGGAGTTCTATCTATATATTCTATTTTTTGCCAGCCAAAAATGGAGATTTCATGGGTTCATATGGGATGATTCCTGGATTTTGTTGGATAATTCATGGGAAATTTTAGCGTGGTTTTTCGGTGAAAACTTCAGTTGGAATATTTTTGATCAACCCGACCAAGGCCGCTGAAGTTCACTTGTTAAGTGATTTAAGTGGAAGTGCACCTCCAAAACAGCTACAAAAAATAGGCGAAACACCATCGTATCTCAATGCATGCTTAATATGGCTTCCAACTTAGCCTGGCAATGTTGAAAGATCCAACTTACTGTTGAAACTGTTACAAGTGGTATGAAAAACCATGAATTTAGGAGGGGATTGTCCCAGATTCTTGGACTTACCACATGATCTTCGGCAGCTTTCTCCAACCCCGGCACCTACCATCAGCTTGCAGGCGCTCATGCAGCCCGCCAGCAAAGCATCATGCCCCACGGGGTCGAGCATTACCACGCGCTCCAGGGTCGATTCCTTTGGGACTTGATCGGACCCTATGAACTCGGTGGGAACTCGGTGGGAACTCGGTGGATGGTGATCTTTCGGTTATGATGAGCTACTTATCTCAAGGGTGGAGAAAAATGTTTGGATATTTTACATTATTTTACATTCGCTTCATCTTTCATTCTTGGAGAAACGGTGCAATTATATAAGTGTATCAAAGGGAAGCTGATCCATGTTTGATATCTGAAATGTGTCGAACCGCTGGGCTATGAAATCATGGAATTTAATCTGCAAAAGCGTTTGCTGTTGCCAAAACTGCGAGCAGACAATTACCCTCCGGAGCCTCCGCTTATTATAGCGATGTAGCTATGGAAGCCATGGCCCATTTGGTGCGATGATTTAGTTATGTATTGGTGTTTTTCTTTAATGTGATTTTCCATGATTTTCCACTGCAAACGGTAAAATAACAAGAGCCCTATGCGTCAATGTAGAAGTTTACCTCCTACGCGGACAATGATGATGTTTGTGTTGGCTAAACATCACCGTGACGAATTCCATGGAGCTTGGAAGTGCAAAATCATCGAAATCCTTTGGGAAAATATATGTCAAAGTGATTCAAAGTGATATCGCGTAAGTTTGGCTATAATAAAACATGTCCAAGATCAAGATTCGGCAGCAATACAAACGTTTAAGAAAATTGCTGCACCACGTGTCTAAAGGGCAAACATCAACATTGATGTGTAAACATCAACATTACACAAATGCGTAGGTAAACTTTGACATTAATGAAATGCGTAGCTAAACATCAACATTAGACATCCAGCGAGAGGGTAATGTATGAGCCAGGATAAACTTTATGCATGGGAAATACATGGTGAAGCTGTTGGGAAGTTAATCCTTGAGAACTTCAAACGCCTGTGACAGCTGATATCCTTTAAAATTCAACCTACCATCCATCAACCATTTCCAATCGAAGTCATGTTAAGTCATGTTTAAAAAGAATGGGTGTTCATCGAAGTCATGTTAAGTCATTTTTAAAAAGAATGGGTGTTCCCCTAAAACTTCAAGGGTTCAAATTCATCAAACGACATTCAAGGGTTGCATTCAGCATTTTCCATCGAAATTCTATAGGCTTTCCAGGGTTTCCCCTATTTTTTTAAACATTTCAGAACATCTCTCTCAAGAGATTTCGAGCTTCACAACGCTTTTGAGAAGCGAAGGCGTTCACATGGTCTTGGATCCAGCATTGGAGTCGGTGTCGTGCTTGTGGTTCGACCCACTCCATCAGATTCGGCACCAGGCTCGAGTCCTCCTGAAAATGCCGGGCTTCACCAACGTTTTCAAGGTCTAGAAATGGTGGGATTATGCGTCCAAACCCGTTTCAAATAGAAGATCGGTTTTCCGATAATTCCTGAATATCTTCTATAATAACGGTATGGAGTATGACCTTTCACTATACTCTAAATACCAAATTGAGGCCCTCTTCCCTTGACACATCATGCCTTTCTAAGCCTCCACTTCGCAAAGCTCAGAATTCCCGAGCCTTGTGGCTGAAGTTGAATTCGGCCGACCGGATCCGGAAGCCCTCGTGCACCTAGCCGTGGCGTTTTAGCAACGCCCAAAGATCCGATCACCATCCGAAAGAATCCCATCATCATTCACTGGAATGGTTTAAGGGAAAATCTACAGGAAACCATGGTTTTTACCATCAAATATAGGACTTTCCTGTAATTTTTCCCATAATCCAATTCTATGAATCATCAACAAAACCACCCATTCTCGGTTGCCCCACGCTGTTGGTGCTGGTGGCGTCAATCGTAAGCTTGACCTGAGCCATCACATAGCTATGGATCTCAGGGGGGCGAATCTATCATCTTCAGTTGGTCTGTTTCAAGGAACACGATTCTGGAAATATTCATAAACAAAATCTGATTGGTGGTTTCAACCCCTCTGAAAAATATGAGCTCGTCAGTTAGGATTATGAAATTCCCAATATATGGAAAAAAATGTTCCAAACCACCAACCCGAGATGATTGAAAAAAGGGTACACTGGAGATGTTGATCAATAACATGAGGATCTAAGTGGATCTTGCTCTATGTAAAAAGTCAAACCCATATATGCGATACGGCATAGAGAATTACACGAATCCCTTCTCCCTATTACTAAACGTACCCAAAATGTTAAAACTAGGGTCCGTTTTCAATTTTGGGAAAATTGAAGTTGGCCAATTTGATTTTGAATTCATTCCCTTTAGAACATAATTTCAAAGTGAAGGTCCCATTTGGTTGCACAATAATAAACACCAGTCAACACCGGGTCACCGGGGTGCTTGTTTTTTTCAGGTCCGCCCTGACATAAATCCGATCCGGTGTTTTTTGAAAATGTAGGGTAACCTTCGAAATCCAATTTTTGGCAGTGTAACTCGAGTTTAAAAGGGAGCTACACGATTTGATTCGTATTTCTTTAATTAAGGTTTTTCATTTGATATTAGGGGAACCTTCGAAATGTTTTTTTTGGGGGAAATAGTTCAACTAGATTTTAAGCAGGGATTTAATCCATTTTGAGAGATAACAAGTATTAAGTTTGTTCTATCAGGTTTTAAATTAAGTATTACGGGGAAGCTTCGCACCCTAAGGTGCTTATGGGGGGCCCGGTATAGTATTAGGAAGAGAGGTTCCATTACACTCGATTCTACACATGAATCAATTGATTTATAGGATTTTTTGGACTTGTGAGGGAGGAACACAAAGAAGGTTTGAACCCACCAAATAGTTCAATATTCTACTCACTTGAATCTTTCATTTCACCTTTGAATGAATTATGATAGTTCTCACTTTCAATCCAAGTTTGGAAAAGAAAATCAAAAGACTCTACTACCCGTACCCACCAGACAGACTTCATCCAGTTCTATTGTCTTCCTGGAAAGAAAACCAAAACATCTGTCTGAACTCTGTGCCGCAGGACTGGTCAGTGGTTTCAACGCCCTCTGAAAAACATGCTCTTGGATCTTCCCACTATGGTTGAGCAAAACATATATGGCCGAACTTCACCGACCAAAGGAGAACCCGATTCAAATAAATACATATAAATATATCCATATAAGCAATATTGTATAAATCCAACTTGTCTATCACATTTGCGGAAAGTGATGCCCCCACATATCCTATACTGGTTGGTGGTTGACCTACCCCTCTGAAAAATATGAGTTCGTCAGTTGGGATGATGACATTCCCAATATATGGAAAGTCATAAAATTCATGTTCCAAACCACCAACCAGATAGCCATTATCATTAACCATTAATAAGCATTATTAATCATCATTAACCATCAAAAAAACCATCATATTCATCCAAACCACCAACCAGTCCTATATATATATAATATCCCAATGATACCACCATTTTAAAATGCTCAGGTTACCTGAATCCCCCATCTTTGCCAAATCCTGATTGAATCCCCGCGTTTGATGGTCAAATCCACCCTTTTTGATCCATGAAATCACCATTTGTCGTCGCGGAATCACCATTTTTATGGGTGAAAAATCCCCATTTTTTGGGTAAGAAATCACCGCTAGAGTTGGCGAAATCCACCATTTTTCATGGGTCAAACCATCCTTTTCGGCCCAAATCACTAGCCTTTCGACACGTCACATTCTCCAAGCCCTTCAGTGGCTTCCACACCGCACTGCGTGGCGAGGAGGTCCGGCTGAACTGCTCCAGATCCACCGCCAAGCCCGGCACCAAAGGCCTTGGGAACCCCAGAATTTCACCAAAGATGGTGATGCAATGGTGATTTAATGTAAAAACCAGATGTTGCATCACCATTACATAAAACATCTGGTTAAAACATCTAATGATGGTTAATTTGGCTACATCTGATGATTTAACCAGATGTAATGTAAAAAAAATATCATGATTTAACTGATTTAACCATATATTTACGCAATAAACAGATGGTCATTTACCCTCTGGTAAACCTATTTCGACTTTGCGAACTTGAACATGGCCCAGTCGACAGTTCGTGGATTTACCCAGCTACAAAATGCTGGATCTTTCCATCGTTTTTTGCTAACGTTTACCAGGCCGGATAATATCCCAACATTCCACTCATTCCAGCAATATAATTGAGATACCAGCATATCAACTAGATCCCAGTTATAAATAGTTTACCCGCAATTTCAACATATATAATTGAGATAGCATAAATAGTTCATGTCCCACCAGCATATATATATATAGTTTATCCATGTTTATCCAGTATGTCCCACCATATCCCAGAAGATCACCAGTTAGATAAAACCAGGCCGGGATCGTTTATGAACCACAGGGATTCAATCCATGATTGATCAACATGGAGAAAACTCACTTCCCGACATGTGGATTTATATAACGTATTTTTAGTGACAACGGGTGGGATTTATCACGTAAAAAAAAAGTGGAAACTGACTTAAGCTTCATGAGTGGAAACTGAGTTTCAAAGAAACCTGGGCTTGGGACCTGAAATTCATCAGGAAACCTGCCGTATTTGATGGTTGAACATCATTTTTCTCGTGACAGTTGCAATTCTGGAGTCATTGACAGTGCCACAGGCAGCAAAGGAAGAATGCCTTGAGACAACGACTTAAGATCAATATCAATCAAGCATATCTATGCATTGCATATGTGGGATTCCTAAAATGGGGGAGCTCCAAAAACCATGGGTTTCAATGCTAAAATGGACGAATGGTTTGGATGATTTGGGGGTACCCCTATGACTCAACTGGACTCGGCGGCTCACATCTCCAAGGGGCTTGATATCTGCAGTACCTGGCCAGAGACTCTAGAGAAGTCAACTTCAAAATTATTGGCCATAAAGAATCGCAAATCAAGAACTTCTAGTTGGCAGCTACCATTGGCCAATACACATACCTTCTGGCAATTTAACATAGCGAAATTGGGCCATTTGTAGTTGATTTACCTATTCAAAATTGTGATTTTCCATAGTTTTTTGTATGTTTACCAGAGGGTAGATAGTGTAAACGTGGGGAATCTTCTGTCTACCCCCTGACCCTTCATCGTACTGTAATGAGATGAAATCAGATGTAATATGGTTGATTTTGGATACCTGCCGCAACAATATGACAGGCATGACAAAAAAAAACATACTAACCAAGTACCAAATGATTTTGTGACAACTGGGCAGATGAGCTCCCCAACAAGAGTTATTGAATGATGTCTGTCAAACATTTGATGTTATGTTACTTAGTACTCTCAAGATCAGACCTAACAAATCATCTTAAACCAACAAACTCTTCCCCCTGCTAGGCTACTTATTCTGCTTGGATTTCTTCACATCAAATCCGACGTGTTTCTTCCATCACTCCCCAAGTTTTCGCACTTACAACATGGGGTCTCCGAGTCATAAGTTGGTTTGTGAACCCCATTAGCTGGTTCGATATACCTACCATGAACCATAGCGGACAATAGTTAGCATAGTGATTCGTTCACAAGGGCACTAATCCAGATCGATCCAGATCTATCCCATTCTCATATCTCCACACCCCCAAAAAAATATGTTGCTTAACTCCCAATATTTTTCCAACTTTATATCCCCAATCTATTCCCCCGTGATCTCCCCATTTTCGATCATGTGATCATGTGTGTTGCTTCACAACTTTACTATATCTATATCCCCATGATATTCCCATTGTGTTCCCATGTTTGTTTATATATGGTTATGTATATATGTATATATTATGGTTATGTATGTATTTCACATGGCCAAATTCCCCGGTTTTTCCCATGGCTTTTCCACCCCCCGTTTCCGCCGCGCCATGCCGCGCCTCGCGAGTTGCGGCGTCCCTCGGCCGCCAGGCCTGCGAGGGCAGTGTGCGCGTCGTGCATCTCGCCCACCTCGCTGATGCCCAGCAGGTGTTCAGCGCCGGGAAGCTCTGCGCCGGGGGCGAAGGTGGGCACCTGCACCTGATTTCATGGAATTCACCGAGATTTTTGAACAAAACATGTGGATTTGGCATGGAAGATCGTGGTTTAACATGCTTTAACATGGTTTAACATGGGGTAACATGGTTTAACATGGTTTAACCAAGAATAAATGGGCATTAAATAAGCAAGTAAGCATCATGGGGATCTTAATTGCGGCCACTAAGCAATAGAGTGATATGGGCCATATGGGCTATGTCTGACAATGGGGTTTACCTTATTTAAAAAAACATAAAAAAGAATGAAATAAATGGGAACATAAGGGGATGGAAGGTAGCCTGTTTTTAGGTACCAGACCCATATAGGCCATGGATCTGATGAAACGAAGATGGGTGTTCAATCTTCCAAGCACTTCGCAATCTTGATTGCAAGAGAGTCTTTGGGCATCGTCTAAGAATGATTTGCGTGACTGAATTTCCGATTTTCGACAGTCCTTGAGTCAGCAGTGGCCCTGCCCCAACTTGTTCCAAGATCTATGAGGTGGTACCCCATGCTATCTATATTTAGCAAAGTATATGTAATTATGATGACCATAGCTTCTGGTAGATATTACTCGATATGTTTGCCTGAGAGTAGGGAACCCCAATATCCATGGTTTTTCATGATGTTCTCATATGGCAGTGTGTCAAAACCTTGTACCCCTGTAGTTCACATCAAAATAGCTGGGATTTATGGATGTTCATCCCACTAAAAATGGTATTTTCATAGGTATTGATCCATACCCATATGTTCTCCATGAAAATTGGTGATCACTTGGGGTATGCCCTATTTCAGACAGGCCTCGTGTCCGCAAATCCACCAAGACACGTGGTAAAACCTGGCCTCTGAAGCTGTTCCCTGTCAGGTGGTAAGGTCCAAGTTTCACGGCCCGGTCATGACCCAAAACAAACAGAAACAAACAATTTAGAATCACGTGGAGAATGCACATGGCAACCCTCAATCCGCATTTGAGTTGCAGTCTCCATTTTTGTCGCATCACTTTGCATTTTTCTTAGCCATAGGATCCATGTAATTATGGTATATATGCTAACCAAATGGGGGTATATTGATGGGATCCATGTTACCATATATAGCAGCACCGTTAGGATCCCATGGGGGAGTGAAATCACACGTTTTTAGTGGCCACACAGCACCTGTTCCCACCTGCGCGTCCAACATCTGGACCGTCAAGGACTTGGCGGGCGACGCCGCGGTGTCCGAAGTGAAGGCGTCCAGAAAGCGACCCCCTGGGCGTTTCGCGAAGAAACGCCCAGGGGTGGAGAACCCCAAGGGAAAAACCCGTGGGTTTGAGGTTCTCTGTAGGTTTTTTGTACTTTTTTGTTTTTTTTTTGGGGGGAGGGATTTTTGTTTGGGGCCAACCATCATGGAAAACATCCTTTTTGAGAATCGACTCTGGTAAGATAAGGATCAAGTCTACGATTTTAAAGTACAATTAAAACATATTAAAACCCAAATCTGGGGTGAAACTGGATTGAGGTCGTGATCTTGGATATCTTGGAATGGAAGTAAAGAAAATTGTTGAGCTTTGAGAGAGTAGTCTGGGTGCATGGAGTTGTCTGCCATCACCTCCAGCACCTGGATCTAGACCCTGGCCGGGGCATGGTTTGTCATGAAGGCCACCCGTGCAACCAGGTCGCTGTCCGATGCGCCAATAAAGTCCAACCTCGTTCGGCACTACACCAAATCACCACAAGTTGCCCTATGACTCTGTCATTGCTTGGCATTCCGTCATTGCTGTTAGAAAATCTAAAATTATATATATATATATATTATGTGTGTGTGTATGTGTGTGTGTGTGCAAATAAATAAACAATTGTATATGTATATATATATATTCATATATACGCATATATAATATATGTGTGTGTAAATATATATAAAATTATATATATATATATTTATTTATTTACTTATTTATTTGTTCATTTACTAGACCTGGAACCAGACGGCCTCAAGCATCCTCAAGCATCCTCAAGCCAAGTTGCAAAGATCTTCCTTCTACTTCATCAGCCCCAAGCAAGTCCAGCAATGCCCTATGAGGTTTCTTGATGTGAAAGTCGTTGGTCACATGAACGCAGGCGTCACAGGTTACCTGGGCTTGCGTCACGAACATCAAGGGAATTATGTGGAAATTCCCTATCTAAACCCATGGTTTCTAAGGGGGTGTTTAACCTTAGGGGCAAGGGATTAGTTGTGGGGTGATAAGTCAAAGCCTCACTTTCCAGCTTGCCAGAGGCGATATCAATAACCAATCATCTCTGATTGGTGTGACACATATTGAGAAGCAGCATCTGTCTCAGCCTTCAGCTTCTTGAGCCTTCTAAAAGAAACAACCGTTGTGTATAACCTGAATAGTTCGGCAATTTTTGGATGGTTACCTACACACACATAATATATATATATATACATACACACAATATGTATATACCTGTATACAATATAAAATATAACATGCGACTACATTGATCTTATCATAGGTTGTGTGCATAATCCACCATTCCAGTGACTTGCCAAGGCCGGCGATCACCTTTAGGCGATCCAGTGCCGTTACATCCTTGCCCTATTTTCATCCGAAACCCTCACTGAGTACCCATCGTTGGTGAGGTTTGCCAAGTTGGCCGGAGGCCGGCCTCATCTTCTTCCTTTCTTCCCCCATGTATGACCAAAAATACATCCAAACAAAAAGTTAGCGTATCCCAGCCTTCACCGTACGGTACCCAATAATATGCCCAGGTAAATCCACTTCTCAGATCTTTTTCCTACAGCCGTACGGTCCCCTATAACTTTGGTCCAGGCTGTCCAGGCTGCATTTAACAACTTCTGTGCTGCCGTCATGTTGGCCTCAGCTTCCTTGGTCTTGGCTTCCATCTTCATGGTACTTGACTCCTGCCTCCTGAGGCTGGCGTCCAAGTAGAAACCTCAAGCTGAGTCAAGCGCCACGATCTGTCAACGCGTTTACGTGATTGTCCAATCAACCAGCGGTACCCACAGATACATGTTCACAAAATTCGTGACACATGTTATAAATTAAAAATAGAAAAATGAATATATGAATACCCTCCAGTAAATTAACATAGACCCTGCCAGATAGGGGTTGAAAAACTAGTTTCCATTAAGAATTGGCTATTTTCAGGGTCTATGTTAATTTACCAGAGGGTATATTGGAGAATCTTAATGGTTTGCTCACCTTTGGTCCAAGCACATGATGCCATCAACCGTGACTTGATGCAGATCATTTCACCCTTCAAACAGCCCTTAGGGCTGTTTGGGCTATGTCTCTCCATGGCTTGCCAGTAATCTTTGGCACTCCCGTCACACGTCTAGATCGTATAGGAAGTAGGATAAGTAGGAAGTAACATAAATCTATGGGCTAAACGGCTAATCACCAGTGGATAAACCTTTTAAACCTTTTGTTATGTTGGACAATCTTTGGGTACCAAAACATCACAAAACCCCTACGGAACGGAAACGCAACGCTGATCACCAGAGGCGCCCAGAAACACACTAAGCTCGACAACAAGAGGAAGAAGGCCTCATTCATGATGGCCAAAAAAATGGAGAGGGCATCAATACTCTCGTTGGCCAAAGATGCGTAGGTGAACCTCGGTCTGGAAATCTCTGAATTCATGGCCTCATGGTCACAGGGGCTACGGGTGAAATAGCCATTGAAAATTGCCATTTAATTATAGTGGATCTACCCATTGAAAATGGTGATTTTCCATAGTTATGTCAATTTACCGGAGGGTATATTCCCAGTAAACAAAGTGGTTGACTGGTGGTGGTTGACAGTCAAGGATGAACTTCTTGCTATCTAGCGTATCAAACAAAAGACCCGGTCTCCGCGCAAATGAATGCCGTACATATATTCTGTGTAAAATACAACAATTCACTAACCTGAAATTAGGCTACATTTGGGATAAATCTCCTTACAAACCATCATTACAGTGAGGTCGCAGTGAGGTCATTATAATCTATCCAGAAGTATACATACACTCTTGGGTGTGGTCATGGTGATGAAAAAATGCACAAAGGCCATCAATGTCGCAAGCTCTTCTGTTGAATGTGCTCTTTGGTGGCCCTTCCCAAAGGTGTTTTCAACAACGACCACATGGTTTTCTTCAAAATACTTAGGTGTTTGACCCCAACCAAAAAGAAGAACTTATAAACCCAAGTATAACTGGACCTTTTCCGCCCTGTCCTGAAATATCTTTTCCTCGTCATTTTTAGTGAACTAACGACCCCGGCCACCGACCCTCCCTTGGATGATCCCAGATCCCAGGGACAGTGGGGACAGCAAGAGGTTGGAGGTGACAGCTTGCCATGGGTCCAAGAACATCACGCTCAGGAGCAGCCTGGCGCAGCGGCGCAGCGACGGCCCGGCTGCTGCAATGCTTATGCTGCTTAAGAACGAGAAATGATGACATGATGGATATGATCGTTGTGATTTAATGATGATTTAATGATGATATACTGGGATATACAGATATGTATATATACTGTATATATATATAGATATATATATATATATAGATAGAGAATGGGAGATAATGCTGGGTATAATGGTATATAAGACAATAAACCATAATATAACCAACCGAGTGGACTTGTAGTTTCAGATAGACCTAAGGTAGACTGGCAATGCAATAGTAATGAGATATTCATGGGATATTAACTCAACTAAAGATGAGAAAACATGGCAACTCGTGGTGCTCAACAGCTCTTGGTTCTGCCCTTCTAGTCGATGCAAAAAAAACATTTGGGTTGCCCTGGGGCCATGGAGTCCATTGTCATACGTATTGAATACGCACGTGTTTAAAATGCAACACATAAAACATGCTAAATCGACTAGAGGGAAAACAGACAAACAAACAACCAACCAACCTACATCGAGTTTTTGTGTTTCACATTGTGTTTCTGCTTTTGTTTGTTACCTGTTTCTTGTAGTTACTTTTTGTTCACAAAAAAGTTAACATTGAAGAACACGCCAGGACAAACAAATAAGGCACACAACAATAAACAACACTGTAATTCTATACTAAAGCGCTTGTCTTGTATTGTGCTATTGGGCTTCCCGTGAGAAAAACAAAGGCGATGGATCAGCGTTTTTTCCATGGCAAGTCCTGTGAGTTTACCAAAGCCTGCCACTGCTCAGCGCTGGAAGAAGTTGCCTTGGGAGACTGTACTGGATACCTGAGCTCTGGCCCGACCAGTCATCATTCAAGGTGCCCCCTTTTTCGGCTGGAATTCCAGCAAAACATAACTAGAGTCTACTATGACTTAAAAAACATTTAAATACTGTATCTATAAGTCAAATATTCTAAGCGCTGGTTGGTTCAGAAGCCCATCCAACTTTTGTTCCGAAACCACAACCACTTTCAGCTTTTCAACACCACCTTCTTGAAGCATCACCCATCGCACATCCTTCAGGTTCTCCCAGAATACCGTTTTGTCAAGATACCTACAGACATGGCATTCAAAAACACCAGTACCTTCTCCACATCCGCCGGGCGCAAGTGCACGGCAGGATGAGCGCAGCAGCGAATGACCACGGCTCCGCCCACACCGGCCCAAAAGTGAGGCGCCTGAGAAACTTCCCACTGGTCTCGTTTGTGAGATATCCCCAAAATCACTATAGTCACCTTAAATTGGGCATATCTCAACTACTAATTGGATATAAGTTGGGATATTTCAACTATCATAAGTGTGTGGTTGGAAATCAACTCAGAATCAAAGACCTTTGAAACCACCAGACAGTGGCAGTGGTCCTGCTGAAAATGAGGCCACTTGGGGATGGTGAGGACGATCCTTCCAGATTCTTCATCCACCAACTGCTGCTTGGTGGTTTGAACCTACCCCTCTGAAAAATATGATTTCGTCACTTGGGATTACTATTCCCAATATATGGAAAATAAAAAATGTTCCAAACCACCAACTAGCAGATTCTTCATCCACCAACTGGAATTCCTAATGTTGACCTATGATTTATAAATGGCCCTTGAATAAAGCTAAATTTTTCCCAAAATAAATAATAAATGCCCCCTAAATAAAGCTAAATTTTTTTGGCCCTAAAAGATTTGCCCAGATGGGGCTGAATTTTTTTTTTTCCATGCTTTATTTGAGGTGGCTTTCATGTACTAATTCATATTGCCAGCTCATTAGATCTTACCTTGATAACTTCAAATTTTCAAAAATAATGGTTGCTCTTTTCTATTCAAAACCTTTATTCAAAATTATCCAAAATCAATCCCAAATCAACTCGTCAAGGGTACCCCCCATGAGGTGCCTTGGCACTAATTAGAGTTTGACCCTGAATAAAGCTAATTGTTTTTGGCCCTAAACCCAGATTTGCCCAGATGGGGCTGATTTTGTTTTTTCCATGCTTTATTTGAGGTGGCTTTCATGTACTAATTCATATTGCCAGCTCATTAGATCTTACCTTGATAACTTCAAATTTTCAAAAATAATGGTTGCTCTTTTCTATTCAAAACCTTTATTCAAAATTATCCAAAATCAATCCCAAATCAACTCGTCAAGGGCCCCCCATGAGGTGCCTTGGCACTAATTAGAGTTTGACCCTGAATAAAGCTAATTGTTTTTGGCCCTAAACCCAGATTTGCCCAGATCCATGACATGAATACTAAATCAATACTAAATCCATGACATGAATACGAGATCAATACTAAATCCATGACATGAGTACTAGATCAATACTAAATCCATAACATGAATACTAAATCAATACTAAATTCATGATATGAATACTAGATCAATACTGAATCCATGACATGAATACTAAATCAATACTAAATCCATGACATGAATACGAGATCAATACTAAATCCATGACATGAATACTAAATCAATACTAAATTCATGATATGAATACTAGATCAATACTGAATCCATGACATGAATACGAGATCAATACTAAATCCATGACATGAATACAAAATCAATACTAAATTCATGACATGAATACTAAATCAATACTGAATCCATGACATGAATACTAAATCAATACTAAATCCATGACATGAATACTAAATCAATACTAAATCCATGACATGAGTACTAGATCAATACTAAAACAATTGCTGGATTCCTTTTTTTTTGAAATTGCATTTTTATGTATTCGTTTTCAATTGTGGTAATTTAAAACCTTTACATACAAACAAGTTTTATGGTGGCCTTAAGTCTATTTAGGGTCAGAGAGGGGGGGGGGCCCCCCTATTTATAAATCAAGGGCAGACATTATGTTTTCGAGAACCAATTTCTAGTGGCTTCCAACCCTGTTCCGAAATTCCGCCCTAACCCACTGCGATCACGGCTTCATCCCCGTCCAATTTCTACGGTCGAATGAAAGAATGATTCTACTCCACAAACGAGATGCTTCTGCCCAAACGAAGGTTTCCTAAACTAGGGCTACCCCGCTTCACCATAGGTTTCATCAATAAAATGGTTTCCCACAATTGCGAGCCCCCTTCTCTCTCACAAAGATAGTAACCATTGCATGCCCGAATCGTACCATTAAATGCCATTAGATCAGATCTCAGTAATCAACCCAATGTGTCCTTGGTCGTTCACTTCAGGAATCGTAAGTGAATTGTGACCCTCACAACTGGACTAACCCTATCATCCTATCCTACTTGGAACTGGGGTGTTTTCACCCCAGTTCCAATTCCTGGATGAGTTCACCAGTTCCCAGTTCCGCCAGGAAGCCGTCAGCATGGATGAGGCAGCAAAAGGCAAGAGGCAGAAATACAGATCCGCAGCTAGACCCCAGAGAGTCGCCTAGGGAAAAACCGACGGGGACCAGCAGGATACCAGCCCAATGTGCATTGAGAAGAACAAAAAACACATCTGGATTCGATGTATGTGTATATAGTCAATGTCGATATATATGTCAATATCAAACTAAAACCTGAAACATCCGGTAAATTTCATTATACCATATTTACACCAGATTTATATAATTATACCATTGACACTGACAATTATATATGGAATTTCAAACTGAACATTTAAGGGATGACTCCTAAGATTTCCAGTGACATGCTGGTGACCTCATTTTCCCGGTCGATGAATTACCCTGCGCTTGGGATTGAGGGATTTCCATGCTGCACCCGCTATATGTTTGATGACACCAGAGGGTAAAGATCTTATTGAATCTTATTGAAGATATACCCTTTGGTTCTTTAACGTAGCTATGGAAAATGGCCCATAGAAACAGATGATTTATGATGATTTACCTATTAAACATGGTGATTTCCCATAGCTACGTTAAATAACCAGAAGGAGTAATTAAAACTGAACAAAAACACCAGGGCTGCTGTTAAGGCTCGGAATGATTCAACAAACCAAGACCAGAAAATGCCGAAGCATTTTAGCGATTGTGGTATGGTGCTCTTTCAAGTCGGATCGATTTCGTACTGAAACTACTGGACTACTGCTCTGGTTTCCAAAACGAATCTTCTGGGAAAATCGGAAACCCACAGATGTGGATGATTTGGCAATGTTCAAATTGATGTTCCATTGTGAGATTAGACTACCAAAAGGCAGCCCCCCCGGTACGGCTTGCACCTTGCAAACGTGCTTATAATTATCATTCGCTTAGCCCACGAACAGTCCCAACCCAACGAATATTATCTCAGTATATAATTCGTCGGGTTGGGGGTATTTTCCAACTCATCGGGGATAACCATGGATAACCCAAGAAAAATCATCACATCTTTGGTATTGCCCCAAGATGTTTTACATTCACTGTCAGATCTGTCAGTGGTGCAAACAACAAAAAAAACATGACCACTGACCCCAGATTCACCCCAGAATCCGCAGTACCAATCCAGCTGTTTTTCGGACTCAAGCTCCATATTTTTGATGCTTCAACCACTGATTCAACCAATGTCAATGTTCATGTGGTAAGTAGGCTTAATTCTGATCATAATTAATATGGATTAATATATAGGTATATGGTTAATCAGCATCCAACATGTAGCTTGAACTTCATCCAAAACCGAGGGGGTTTTGCAAGTGATCATCGCTGCCGAGCTGCAATAGCTTTGAATGTCCTGGCTGCGGGGAGTCCCCATTCATCATCCCAAAAGCCCCAAAAGCCGTGAGCCACAACGAACGTCACACCTTCGAGTTAATTTGCTACGAAAAAATAGTGGTAGATTTATTTTTGTTACCTATATATTGCTATATCTATATCATATGTATGGATAAACAACATCGCTCACCACCTGATATGCTGAGTAAATCCCAAGCTCACATTTTGTTTGAATCAATGGATTGGTTTTAAGGGAAAACAAACATTAACCGGAACCCCCGGAAAAAAACGCAATTGGAAGCGCCATGGTTTCTGGTTTCTGATTCTCACAACAAAACCAGTCCATCAAGTAGCCAGATCCCATGTTGGAGTTCTCCACCCATTTCTTGATCCCATCAATCCAAGTTTTTCTCAACAGGTTTGTTCACCAATCTATCATGTGCTTGCGAAGCTCCGTGTTACCAGCAGCTCCTTGTCACCTTGTCTCCCCACCTCCGTGAATAGCCCTTTTTCACTATCCCATATGATCCATGTATGCCATATATGGTGACATTTACCATCAATATACCCCCTTTATGTTAGCATATATACCAGCACCATGGATCCTATGGGTATCCCATAGTGACCTGGTCGCCGCTTCCTCCGAACATTCTCCCAGTCCTCTGGCGTCCTTCCACAACACGACCATTCAGCTGCTTTTCCTGCGCGACGTTCACCAGCCCCGGCGTTCGTCCCAACGTCGCACTCAACACTTGGTACGCAAAGGGCAGCTCCCCTAGGGCGCTGACGAAAGGCTACCAGCACTTTTTGGCACCCCAAAAGAACGAAAGAATCCCTAGGAACATGATGATTTAACTATACAATTGGGATTTAATATGACTAATATAATGAGATTTAAAACTGAATTATGATCCCTAGTTTGGTTTAGTTTAGTTCAGTAGTATTTCACTAGGGTTGGTGGTATATACAAAGAACTCGTTCATGCGGCTGAAAGAAAAAACAAGAAACATACTTGGAGGGATCCGCCTCGCAACGCTGGATGCCTATGTATTTGCATAGAATATGGTTGGCCTAACGGTTTAAAGGCAACTTACTGACCTTACTGGGATTTGAATCGCAGTTACAAAACTCATCAAGACTCATAACATCTCATAACCATATTCTCACATATATTGTAAATGCGGGTAAAACAATGTCATAAACCACCCGTTTGGGAATGGTCTATACCACCTATTTATGGTGATCTATATAGGGGATGGTTTATGAGCTTGTTTTACCCACATTATAAGCCAGTTCTGACAACACCTTTTATTTGGTACAGGAAGGAGAGAAGATTTCTGAGCATTGTCTCATCTTTTCCCATCAAAAGCTGTGTCCGAAATGCATAAATGCGGATGCTCATAAATATGCAGGATATACCCAAGTTCTACATGGGTCGCAAGGAAAAGCCAGCACACTTACTGATTGGGATGCGGCCCCAAGTAGAAAGCAGGCAAAATCCATTGTGATTGACCTGGACATTCCTATCCATTGGAACCATTGTCAAATAATGTGGGAAAACAACTGTAATAAACCATCCCCAAGTCATCGCCGTGCCTATGGGTGGCCATAAATAATCCCCTTAAATGGTAGTTGTTTACTATTGGGTGTACTAAATTAAATATCTGTATTCCTCTGCACCTTGGATGTGGACCTGTCTCCATATGAAGAAACTGTCTCAACTCAAGATGCCGAGCGAATAAAATAATAAAAAAAAATCACATGAGAACTTGCTAACAATATGAGATATACTTACATGTATACATTAAATAAATAATATATACAATATTAATATTACGGATATAATTATCACACATAAACCAGCACTATTTTTCATATCAATGCTACGGTTTCAGTTTTGCCAAGTTCCACCAAGTGGCGCTGAAAATCCCAGAGGAAGAAAGAGCCTTGACGCCAGCACGGCGCATACGGTGGTGACGCTGCACAGCATGGAGCACTCCGACAACTCCGGCAGGCGCTGTGAGTTGATGGTGCTGAAGGTGCACCGGGAAACAGCGGAAGATGAAGTGACGAGACGAAGTTATAGGGTTTGGAAGTCTGCGAACATGTCCGTGTGTTCTGGATAGATCTATCCCTACTCCCTATACGATTTTTTTCTGTGGGTGAAAATTTGATGCCAATGACTATTGCTCCTGTTTTCATGTTGATCCGTTCCAGCAGCGGCACATTGATGGCCCCACATAGTGGGGAAATACCCCGAACCTGTTCCAGGGCTGGTGGGGGCCACCCGCTCCAGGCCAGGCCCAACATGACCATGGAACCTCTGAAGAAAACCCAGGATATACCATCTGGATATGACTAACATAGCCATATATATAGCCATGGAAAAATCCACCATTTTTTATAGGTAAACTATCTATTTCTATGGGCCATTTCCCATGACTATGTTAAATAACCACCAGGTAGTGTTTTGCAGAACTTGTTGGACTCATGCAGGAATAAACCAGGATTAACACATGAAATGTGGACCAAACTGACCAAACTTACCCCCTGTTGGATGGGACGCATCCCAACCCCTAGGATGCATGACTGACTGTAGATACCCTGAACAAACATAGTTGCGAATTGTAACATAGCCCTATTTATGGCAAGATATCAAGTCTTGTATTTCTCCAACTTTTCGAACTTCAGCCATTTTTTGACTTGAGCTACCTTTCACCAAATGATGATGATGATGATGATAATTGTAAGTGTGGAGCACCGTCCCGGTTGGACGGAATATGTTCAATTGCATTAAATAACTAGAGGATACTAGAGGGTAGCCCCCAAATTGAGATAAAGTGTAGTAAGATCCTACTGACATAGTGATCAATTGAACCTTTTCTGCATCTTTTTGCGGGGACATATTTACGGAAATCCATCCATTGTCGTGTTGTTGTTTGAAAGATTTTGACTTCAGGGTTGTTTTTGAATAATTTTTGGATGTTTTTGTAGATTATATTGGGATTCTTTTGAGATAAACTGATTTTTTTTCGCCTACACATGCTCCTGGACAGTTTGTTGCGTACTTGTTTATTATCTTTATTTTTGTTGAGGAGGTACTTGTAGATGGATAAATGCAATCTAAAAAAACTCAACATGTTTTTTTTTAATTGTGCTGCGATAGACAGCACAAGGATTGGCAGGACATCAGGATACGTAAATGTGAGATGTTGACCTGGGCTTGGAGGGGAACGGAAAGGGGATGTCCTTTCTGGATACATCCCATGGGGGCAATGCTAGTGCATAGAGTATACAGCATATCTGGTTTGTGGTTTCAACCTACCCCATTAAAAAAATATGAGTCAGTTGGGATGATTATCCATGATGATCCCATATATGAAATGGAAAATAAAATTCATGTTTGAAACCACCAAGCAGATATATTGGTATTCCAATGATTAACCGTTATTAACCATAGATTAACCATAGATTAACCATAGATTAACCATAGATTAACCATAGATTAACCATAGATTAACCAGGAAAATAACTGGTGTAACTGGTATAACACAGTCGAGGCCCCTTCCTGGCACAGGCGATCGGTCAAAAATCTCAGGACATTTTTCCAGTCTCGGCAGTGGTGAAATTCTTGAGGTTGTCAGGAAAGATTACAATAAATCCAACTAAATCCAGGAATTCCATATGGTATCTTGAGGTATATTAAGCAACTTTTCACCAGTGGGACAGGTTGTTCGGACCTTCCTATGATCCTCATGCCAGAACTAAGTTGAACTAAGCCCCGGTAATTTCCATACACTTTGCTATGGAGCTACCCAGCATTAAGGACGTCAGACCGTCCCTTTTTAGATAGGATTCCCAGGTCCGACTAGGGCTCCAGGCTGTGAGCCAGCGCTCAAGGATGCCAAGCCTGGTGATGGGGATATATCCTCGTACATAGCCCTAAACAAATAAATCTTATGGTACAGGATGGGGCCCCAGTCGAGTTCGCGTTCAGTTGCCTAAAAAAGTGGCAGAATTCTATGGTTTATGGTAGATAAATCTATAGTTAATATAGTTAATATAGTTAATATAGTTAATGGGGTTTATAAACCAACTTAGGGGTCACCATCCTCTACCTCCAAAACATCGATTCCTGACATGGCCAGTGGTTTTCGGATGTTTTCGGTGGTTTTTTTTGGCAAATTTCGCGACATTTCATGTATTGACCAATGAGATGGGTCATGGGTCCGTGGGAAATGGGGACATCATGCGATATCCCCAGTTTTCGGTGATGTTTAGAGGGGAAATGTAGTTTTTTTTTCAGATTCACCAGTGGGTGGAATGGGGTACCCTAGTTTCAGTCAGACCCAAATGGGTAGAAAGCAGGTACGCGGCACATGTCGGCTTCATCCCAGTTCAAAGTTCAAAGGCTTTGTTTCACCTCGAATGGGACCTTGTGTTCTATCCGACAGCTAATGATGTTGTTACATTCCCAAAATCGGACTAGACTATGAAGAATGATCTTTGATACAATTTTGATGTACCAGATTTTAACTCATCTTGCTGTTCCACCAGCGCCCGACTCATCTTTTTCCACACAGCCGGCGTCATCACTCTGCGTCTCGGGGCCCAGCGGGGCCTTAAGATGGCGATCCAGCTGCTTCACGCCAGATGTGGATCCCCAAAAAATGACAAAACATAGTTCCTTCAGAACATGTTCATGACATATTCTTCACATGTCCATATGTTCCATATCTTTCCTCAAGAACAAAAATCGCCGATATCTATAGTATCCTCAATAATCATCCTGCAATTTCTGGGCCTTCCGCATATGGGTATGGATCAATACCTATTAGTACCATTTTTAGTGGGATGAACATCCATTTACCAGCTATTTTGATGTTCACCAGGGGTACAAGGTTTTGACACACTGCCATATGATTATAGTCTCCTCCCAAACATCACGGATGGTCCCACCACCGCGGGCGCCCCGCTGGCCGCAGCCGTTTTTTTCGCCGCGGCTCTCCACACGGGAGAGGTAACTGGGTGCCTCCTGGAGCACGGCATCAAGGCCACCCAGAAGGCACAGCACATGCCTGTCCCAAGGTGTGGCAAGGTGGAGGATTCAAAGGGGTCGAATATGGGGTATATGATGTATAAATATATATATATATATAAAATTATATATATGTTAGTTTATTTGTTTTTGGCATTTTTTTTGAAGTCGTCCAGGCTCCCTTCCCTGATTGTTGCAGCTAAAATCTGCATTTTGTAGCTAAAATCTCTCATTCGCACTCTTCATCAATTTTTCCACTGGTTTCATGAATTGTTCCATGGTGCTATCGAGTTTTCCATGGTTGTCATTTATTTTTCCATGATTTTCATAGATTTTTCCATGGTTTCCCTCAATTGTTCCATAGTATTCTTCAATTTTTCCATGGTTTTCTTCAATTGTTCTATGGTGTTCTTCGACTGTTCCTGGTCTTCTTCCATTTTTCAATGGTTTTCTTCAATTGTTCTATGTTTTTCTTCTATTCCTGTATGGTTTTCATTCATTTTTCACTGGTTTTCATTGATTGTTCCAGAGTTTTCATTGATTTTTACATGGTTTTCATTGATTTTTCCGAAGTTGTCATTGATTTTTGGAGATACATGAGGTGCAAACTATAAATTGTAGATGTATAGAAGTATACATGCATAACTATATAATCATGACTATGTGCATATGTAGATCTGTGTATTTACAAGTGTATTTAATATATCTGCAGGGTTTGGTTTAGGTTTATTCTAGGTTTGTTTAAGGTCTATTTAGGGTTGGTTTAAGGCTTTAAGGTTTCTTTACGGCTGGTTTAGGGTCTGTTTTGGGTTTGTTAAGGATTGGATTAGGGGTTATTTAGGGATACAACATGTATACACACAAGTATATAACTATAATTATGTGGATGCATATGCATGCACATGATTGTTTATAGTTTATTTTGGGATGAAAGCTCTGTATATAAACCACAAAAAATATGCACGCTATATACATATATATATAGAGCATATATATATAGAGCATCTAAGCATAAATATATATATAACATATGTATATATATATATAAATATTTATGTATATACATATAACATATGCACATATATATATACATACATATACATATACATATACATACACATACACATACACATACATACATTACATTACATTACATTACATTACATTACATTACATTACATTACATTACATACATACATACTTACATTACATTACATTACATTACATTACATTACATTACATACATACATACATTAATTACATACATACATACATACATTACATTACATTACATTCATACATACATACATACATACATTAATTACATACATACATACATACATTACATTACATTACATTACATTACATTACATACATACATTACATACATACATACATAACATACATACATTACATACATACATTACATACATACATTACATACATACATTACATACATACATTACATACATACATTACATACATACATTACATACATACATACATACATACATACAGACAAACATACATACATACATACATACAAACATACACACATACAGACAGACAGACAGACATGACATGACATGACATGACATGACATGTCATGACATGACATGACATGACATGACATTACATACATACATACATACATACATTCATTAATTCATTACATACATACATGCATGCATGCATACATACATACATACACACACAGACATACATACATACATACATACACACACACATACATACATACATACATACATACATACATACATACATTACATACATACATAACATACATAACATACATAACATACATAACATACATAACATACATAACATACATACATACATACATACATTACATTACATTACATTACATTACATTACATTACATACATACATAACATACATAACATACATACATAACATACATACATAACATAACATAACATAACATAACATACATACATACATATATACGTGGGACAAAACAATGCGAAAAAAATACACCTCCTATATATATATACACATGTGTGTGTGGGATATGTGTATAACATGGAAATTGATTTTTATTGTATATAATACATATATACATATATACATATGAGAGAGAGATAGTGACTAAGACTAAAGCTAAAAACCAACAATGTGACTTATACAATATGTTTGTTGATTGTCACCAACAAACCACCAGTTGGTCTAAAGAATGGTACTTCACTAAACATCATTGAGGGACGGAACGAGCGTTTTCTATTGTACCATACTGTACCTGATTCAATGACTTGGCATTGATGCAGGAAAGACGAATGCATGATAGCGCATGTCTACTACAGCTTGGAAGTAGAGCAGTTGAAGTTGTTGTTGAAGAGCCTGGGGACCCCAATTGCCACCGCCTGAAGTACTTCACCCTCAAGGTATGGGTGAAGGGTTGGTCATTTCAACATCTTTTACCGATTCCAAGATTCGAATCATCGTACTACTCATCTTCATGTGCTATACACAACATAATCCTATCACTTGGGGATTGCTTATACCCATTTATGATGATAATTAAATAAATAAATATATATATATATGTGTGTGTCTGTGATATGGGGGATGGTTGATGGTTTATCATTGGCTTCCCCACATTACGATGAAGCACGAGTCCTGCCTGACTCCAGCATTCCTGGGCGATGAGCGAGCGAAAATAAGCTAAGCTTACACCTAATCATCTGTAATCATCTACAATATCAATGGATTGGTTTCTGGGACAATTTTACAGGAAAGCCCCATATTAAAAATCGGAAAATCAATGGTTTCCTGCAGTAGATTTTCCCAACAAAACCAATCCATTGACAATAGTCTCCATGCACTACAATGGAGACTACTGGTACCTGCAATGATATATATATATATACCTCCCATGTTTCTTTTTGCAGCCATCCTCTGCGACAATCTTGACTTGTTGATGGTTTTTCGGGCACTACCCTCTGGTAGTCAAACATCGCAATGGAACACCCACCATCTTTCCGTCGATGAATTTCTTGCAGCCCCGTTTTTTGTCCGAAGCTCAACAGGCGTTCCGCGAAGGAAATCCCAAAGTCTTCGCCACCGATGACCACCACAAGACCTGGCACGTCTGCAAGGTCGCCCCACGGCGTCCCACATCTCGAAAGATGTGGAGTTGTACTCCGATGCTTGGCCAAACACATGGGGAAATTACCCAAGATGATTGCTATGTATCAGGGATGAATCCATATGATGATAATTACCCAAGTGGGAACTAATCAATAATCGTTTACCATCGTTTACCTCAATAATACTGGAAGTTTTTTTTTGGGGGGGACAATGACGATATACTGCCAAACACCATGGAATTTTGAAAATAATGCTGGAATTTTGTAGGGACAATAACGATAGACTGATACACCATGGAATTGTTCAACATTTTTCAACCAAACACCTTGCCATTTCGCCCCCCCTTCCAATGACAAGCCATGCTATGACCATGGCAGCATTCTACGGTACCATCTCCCATCTACAATTTCTGAGGTTTCCGTTGGGAACACGTGCTAAACGTTGGGAACATTTTTCTATGGAAATTCAGATTCGGGGGTTCAAAGATTCGGTGCAGTCGTCAGCTCATGATTTTGGTGTTCAAATCACGGTACGAATCCGCCGAAGTTCAATGGAATGGTTTCATGGATTTGGGCATCAATCATCCCACTAACTAAAATGGAAACCATGGTTTTAGTAGATTTAGTTCCACTAAACCATGAAACCATTGTTTCTCACTTCTGCAACTTTTCTTCCACTAAAGGTTTTCCAGTAGGTTTTCCTGTAGATTTTCCTGTCATCCAGTTCTGGAAAAAAATTGGCCTCTACATACCCTCCAATCCCCTTGCGCCAACATGTTTACGGCGAGGAACGCAAAGCTCTTCTCTTTCCAAAGAGCCACGGGGCAGCGAAAGCTGGCTGCTCACCATCGGATTCGCCTGTCGAGGGATCGTCGCAACTGGGGACTCAGTGAGTTACACATCGGAAGCATCGACTGCCTCCATCGCCTTCGGAGGAAAGTTGATCATAAGACATGCCATCCATATAGTTGAACGGTAGAACTACCCATGTATGGTAAATTTGGATAAATTTAAGGGCATTCTAGCCTTCTCACCTTGTTTCCAAGAAAAATCAACAGAACTGCCATGGGCGGCCATGGGCCCCAGCCTGGTGTGCCACATTGGGACACGAAATCCGTGGGCAACGACGGATGTCGTAAGTCGGCTGCAGGATCCACGTGCACCTGAAACGGACCACGATGGACCACGGACCAGGCGTCACCTGATGTCAATCAATGTTTGCTATGGGATTCAATGGGAATTTCATGTGGGTCTAATGGAGATTTAATGGAGATTTAATGAGGATTCTATGAGATTCAATGGAGATTATAATTCACTTTCTGGTAGTTTAAAAGCTTGACATAGAAAATGACCCACTTCTAGGTGATTTACCACCACAGAAAGAAAACACTGATTTTTTTCCATGACTATGTCAGGTTACCAGAGAGCAGATGTCATCTCATAAGTTTCTGATCAAAAAATGAGGACGCAACCATAAAAAGGTCGATTTAAACAAATAAATCTCTCTGCACATGGTCAAATACCTTGACAATCAGAGGAACCCTCAAAGTCTCACACATACCCATATGCTCCATGTATGGAATATTTACCAACATTTACCCCATAAATGACCCAAATGTAGGTAAATATACTATACATGGAGCATATGGGATATTGGTCCACAGGTTTGCAGACTCCAGCCATCTCCATCTCCAGCCATTCCCAAGGCACGCTGGATTGAAAGTGGCAGTTCTCAAAGTCCTCAGCGCTGCGGACGTCCAAAATGAAGCAGCGACTGCGATAACTCAGGAGATCATCCACCTGCGACCGAGCGAGACTACGGAATGACCGGGATCGTTGGTGATATTGGTGACGACCTAAGGGCCCAATGTTCAGTAAATAGCTGGATTTTGTTTAAGCCAACAAATATGAAAAAAAAACATGATGAAGTGACTATTCAAAGATTGAGCTTAACATAAAAATAGATGAACATGAACTTGGCTTTGCTGATTCGGGGACCGTAAAAAACTATTCCCATTCCCAGTAGCTTCGCCATGTCATGGTGGATTTACCAATGGGAACAGGATTCCGTCACATTGACACGGGCTAATGTAGGATTGTTCATTCTAAACCATCCTGGTTGGTGGTTGAGCCACCTTTCAACCTATATACCCCTCTGAAAAATCATGGAGTTAGTTCGTCAGATTGGATCATCATCCCAACGACATTGGGGAAGTCATCAAATTCCATGGTTCCAGTCACCACCAACCGTTGCATCCAGCTATTGGGGTACCCCCATTTCAGGTCTTCGCCAGGAGGCGATCTGACCTACTTTTTTTAGGCCGGAACGGTTGGGCCAGCTGCTGACAGTCCAGCATCTTTTGTTATGCAGATGGAATCGCTAAGTTGGTTTTAGTTTCCCTTTAGCAAACTTCGATATAGTTTATGGTAGTTTATGGCTATGAAATAGCAATAGTTTGATGGAACAGCCAACAAACAGCAGGTTTTTTTGGGCAACACCTTGTCACTCAACCTCCATCGTCATCAGTGCTATGTATAAAGATGGACATGCGGACCACTTTTTTGAGGTTAAGGTCATCCTAATTAGCCCAAACTGTTGGACCCCCAAATCATCCCAAGGTCCCAAACTGGTCGTTTTTTCATAGGAAGAAACTGGCCTTGGGCTGTCCCAATCCATTCCCCATCAAAACAGGCTCAGTATTGGCTATTGCCGCTATTTCTCATCGCAAAGCCACAGTGATCACAGGTGGGGTCGTTGTACCTCGGGCGGTGCGAGATGCCCCAGATGCCCCGGGATCAGCAAGAGATAGGCATTTCATCCACTAGCTGTCATGCTATAAAGATCTACCCCCTGCATCCCCTGCAATATTCTGCAAGATCTGCAAGAGCTCAGCTGAGTTGGTCAGCAAGAAAAACACCCCAGTTGACGATGGAAACTCACCATGACCATCCACAATCTGGTGAGTTTGGGCAAGGGAGCGGCGCAGCTTTCATCGTTTTCATCCAGTGATCCGTTAGGTTGGAAACCCAGCCATCAGTCAATGGATTGCTTTAAGGGAACATCTTAACCAGAAACCATTGATTTTCGCATCATTTGTTGGGGGGGTTCCGGTTTCAATTTTCCCTTCAAATCCATTGAATCAAATACAGTCAAGTGGCTATTGAAAATTATCCATTTAAAACATTTAAAAACTGATTCAGAAAAAACTAGATTTAATATGGCATAGGAATTTTCCATTATTATAATTTATTATATATATATAATATGTGTGTGTATATACTCCGGGAGTACAGTAGAACCAAGCTGCTATTGCTGCGCTGACGCCACCACTCGCACTGCCGCCATTGTTCCGTGGCATGTTGCACCAGGCTCTCCTTTCCTAGCTGGGTGAACGTAGGAGGGAACTGGCTGTTTGGCGTTTAGCTGTGACATATATTGGCACACACACACATATATATATACACACATAATATACATATATGTATCGCATATCAGCCCATGCTTGACTTGGCCATAGCATCTTACATGTGATTATGAAAACACATTGCTATATTCTATTGGGGTTTACGACTTCAACATCTGCAAGCCATGGAATCACTATCCCCAAGATCAGCGATGAACCAAACAAACCACGAATCTCGCCCAGGAGACTCTTGTCCCACCATCTTGCTGGTTCCAGAGCTAGGTTTGGCATGCAGAAAACGTATGGGACTTCTATTCCCTGAGCTCATAAATTACCATAATATTACCATAATTGCAATAATTTCGCATCGAACACATCTAGAACTTTCTGTCTGGACCAGTGTCTGCATTTTTCAAGGGAAGTGATTATGTAATATCACCACAAAAAAACAAACAAATACAGGAGATCCTCACCAATCGTCTATCAGAACCCATCCACACAGCAAGATGATTCAAAAAGCAAATTGCCTAAAAATCCGCCGGAAAAAGACTCGAGTTCAAAACCTTTTTACCCTAGGGTAAAGTAACATAGATGTGGAAAACCCATGGGACAACCCATGGTTTCCCCGTTTCCCCTTCGCACAATGACCTACTGGGTCTTCCACATCTCCTAGCTTCGATGCACATCTTCTTCAGTCTCTGCTTGCGTCTGGGAAAAGATGCTGTTCAGGTATCCCCAGGTGCCTGATGGATCCACTTCTGGCCGGTTGGTCCACCATTCCAGAGGAAAAAACACATGACATACTATATCACTATATTGATGTACTGTACAGTTTGGATCATCATCTAATTTCTAGGGATGAAATTAGAAAATAAGACATATTTGAAACCATCAACTAGTCATTCAAGAAGCGAAGACAATGAGATAAGACATATCATAAATATTCGGAAACATGCCCCCCCCAAAAAAAACTATAATTCCATATCATTCCCCCATTTTTCGTTTTTTCGTTGCACATAGCCCAAAGTGCAACAAACATGATAAGGTGCAATGACATCTGGGCATCTCTCGCCATATCATTTTTTTGTCTGAAAATTTTTGGTACCATTCCATCCACTGGTGAATCATCATTTTCCCAGGAAAACCCTCCATTTTCAAAGCCACATCTTTTCCTGGATTCTCAGCCCAGATCCAATCGGCGAGGTCATTTTGAATCTAGGCTGCTTGCCCTGCTTGCCCACAGAATCTCACCACAGAATTGGCCAGTTTCCATATCATCCATATATATATAAATAATTATCCATGTTCAGAGGGTAGCTCTCACATGTTTTCCCCCATCTTTCTTCCACAAAAAAAAAGGCCGCCGCCAAACCGTCTTCCGAGGCGCTGTCCGCGGCGATGGGGGCCTTCCCTTCTTCCCAAAGCAAGGCTTCGCCGGCGGAATGCCGGGGATAGATGGCCAGGGTGATCGACGCCGGAACCGCTTGGAAGAAATCCTTGGACAGACCACTGTGAGGTGACCTGGGAAGGGATTTACCTTGGAGATATGATTGAGATCTAAAATCCACACGTTATGTATATAAATATACATACATACACACACACATATATATTATTATATGTATAGTTATGTATATATATATATCTTAGATTCTTGGATAGGTGGGATATACCAACAAGAAGGCATAACGAGATAGGTAAAGGATACATGGCTTCGTGGGCATGAGCGATAAACAAATAGCAATGTATGGTGATCTATGGTGGGTATCTCCACCTATTCACGATATATAGATTCCCCTCAGTCATGGATCCAAATGGTGGATTTTTCATTGGGAAAACCAACGATCTTTGACAAAAAAAAGCAGGTTATAAGTTATAACTGGGCCTGCACCACAAAAAAAAAAAACAAAGTTCCAAAAGATCCGGTGGATTCAACGTAACAGTCTGGACCAGAGTTTTTGCCGCGAAAGAGACCAAAAAGTGAAGCCTTCAAAAATCAATGAATGCTTGATTCAATTGGTTCTCAGCTGGTTTCTTTGGGGATGGATGTAAAATTCGAACTCCAGGGGTGGAGGGATGGATGCAGGTAAGATTCCAGAGCAGCTGTGACCAAGATCTGAGAATCGACCAGCTGAGCACAGCTACTGAGGAAGGTGCAAATGTGTGAAGCTTCGTCTAAGGAAAGCAGGGATTCACGGAAGAAGTGAACCTTGGTCACAACTGATCCAAATTCCAGTTCTGGAATCGTGGATTGAAGCCAGGCTTCGGGTTTGCGTGTCGGTTTTGCATGTTTTTGCCTGCAGGTTGCAGGGCTATAGAGGAAAACGCAAGCCCTCAAAAAGATAGAATAGAACATTAAATAACACTCATTCATTCACTAATTTATGTGGGATTTCACTCATCCTTGGGGGTTGCCTTACGAAAACGAAAAGTATCTCAACAACTCTTCTCTCCGCAGGCTTAGTGACCAAACAAATAGCCACAAAGAGTTGAAACTGCGGGGGTTGGAGAAGCAATCGATCCCAGAGAAGCATCACCTGCGCCGCGAAGATTGGAGCTTTGGAAATGGTGAATCGGACCCCTGGAAATGGGAGAAATGGTGGGATATGGCAATGTTTAATAAATGATGAAGATGTTTCACGAAGTTTGACATTTTCAGGGAAATGCGTTTGAAGGATTTCCCTGAAGCTGACAAACACCATGATGTCCATCCCTTCCTGGGGCAGAAACGCAGAGAGATGATGAACAGTGCAGAATTGTGTTTTTTCCTTGAATGCTATAGTTGGGAATGGTTACCTCATGTTACCTCCTTACATTAAGCAACGTGAAATCGTTCTGGATTGATAAGTATGTGTGCATGAACTGTATATATCTGTGCGTGCAAGAACTGGACATATCGGTGGGAACCCACAAAAAAAATGACAGTGTGAACCCATGACCATATTCACATTGATATCATCTATAATCATATATATATATATATTATATATACACTTCTTGTTGCATGTCTTTGTTTTGAGTCATTATAAAAATCCATAGCCTCCAGTCATTTGAGACAGTTTTCTGAAAGCCATTGCCCATAGAGTTCGATGATTTGACCTCCACAGCCTATCACAGCAATGACCTGGGCTATTTGTCAGCCGTTTCACCACAGTATGGAGAACATTGGAGAAGCATCCTCCAAATCCATCTCTTGGAGTTCTTGTTTACTTGATTTAGCGTGTCATGTTTCCATCTGTTGGCCCGCAACATTTTAAATACCAACTAAACATAGTCAGCCCTAAATCTGACTATCCATTAGATAGCAATGGCAAACGTAAAGTTTACTGTCCATTAAACAAAAGAACAACTGTCTGGTCATGAACCTGCCCAAATATTCCACACATTTTTGGCATCGTCGTATCCCATGCCTGTGACAAGGGCAACAGCTGCGCAAACCATGTGGGAAACCAATCGCTGGCATAGGCATCACCTTGCAGACCCAACCTCAGAGGTCCCAAATCTGCCATGGTCAAAATATGGTATTAATATGGAGGTTTCCATAGTCATGGGGATCCCCCAATAGTTGGATGGCTTTAAATCCATGTAAATCCTAAAATAAAATAGATGATTTTGGGGTACCCCCATTTATGGAAACCCTCATATGGTCAACATATCTGGGTAAATGATACTAATTCACTGACCTGAAATACGGCTATATGAGGCTATATATATAATTATATATATATATTGGGATAGTTATCCCTACTTACCATCATCTATGGTGAGGTCGCAGTGAGGTCGTTATTTAATCCTAGAATTTTTTCGTACACGGTTTAACTAACCGGTCGTCCATCCCACATTGGGAATCCAAGAAACGGAGGGATGCTTCCAACATCACCCCTCTGATTTGGGCTTCCCTAGTCTCACCAAGCCATCCACATCTCCATCAAGACAATAGATATCAAGAGATTCATATTGGAACCCCCATGCTTCATCCTTCAACCCAGGTACTGTCCAGAAATCGTATCGTTTCGTGCTCTAGGCATCCGGCAAGCTGGAACATTTTGGCATCGCAACAGCGAACAGTTCAGGGTGGGGGTCCGTAACAACTCTTGGCAACCTCAGCAATGGCATTTTCGAATAACCTCTGGTAATTTAACAGTTGGCTATGGACAATCCTCGAACCAAATGAGCCATCTAAACCATAGCTATGATATTGAAAAAAAACAGAGGGCACTTTCCCATTCTTGTAGATGAAATCCCTTAAAATTCACCCCCGAAATGGTCAAATAATAGTGTAAAACCCCTTTAGAAAAACTCCATAGGTTTTCTGGAAGTTTTCTGGATGAGTTTCGGAAAACCCGTTTTTCTATCCAAGCAGCTCTTGCAGGTGTAAAGACAGCTGCGGATCCACAAAACTCATCCTCGGTGGGGCCGTGGCCCAGAGGTGATCTGGGGATGGGTCAACACCGAGTCCAGCAACACATCTTTGGGGGGGATCAAACATCCATGAAGCAACGATTTTAGCTGGTTGGTGGTATACCTACCCCTCTGAAAAATGATGGACTTCGTCAGTTGGGATGATAACATTCCGAATATATGGAAAAAAATAAAAACTGTTCCAAACCACCAATCAGTTAGGGTACCTAAGGTCGGGTTTTGACTGATAGCCATCTGATTATCTGATTCAGCTCCATAGTGATCCAAAATGGCCAAATGCTGTGGATGATTGACCTATTGAAAATACTGGTTTTCCATCACAAACTCTGTAGATGACATCCCCAGTGACAATGCTTGGGCAAGCTCCAAATTCACTGCATCATTTTTACCCTCTGGCCAATGGTCAACATACAAAAAGCTATTGAAAATGGCCATAGAAATTGTTGATTGTCCCATGAAAATTGTGATTTTCCATAGTTATGTTAGTTTACCAGAGGGTAGTACGCATGCAGTTTCATGTCTTGCACTACATTGTTTCATAGAATGCTGTCCTATGTTAGGTTGTTCATATGATCTTGTGCTATGTTGACTGAACTTCCACTATAGTGTATAAATATTCAAATATCTATGATCCTATGTTTAAATATGTTATATATATATACCTATCTCTATCTATATCTACATCTATCTCCATATCTCTATATCTACATCTATCTCTATACCTACATCTATCTCCATATCTCCAAATCTCTATATCTCTATATCTCTATATCTACATCTATCTCTACATCTCTATCTATATCTATCTATATATCTCTCTATATCTCTATATCTCTATACCTCTATCTATATCTATCTCTATATCTCTTATCTCTATATCTCTATATCTGTATTTATCTATATCTCTGTCTATCTATCTATCTAATCTAACCTAACCTAATCTAATCTAATCTAATCTATCTAATCTAATCTACAGTAATCTAATCTAATCTATCTATATAATCTAATCTAATCTATCTAATCTATCTAATCTATCCAACCTATCTAATCTATCTAATCTATCTAATCTATCTAACCTATCTAACCTATCTAATCTATATAATCTATCTAATCTATCTAACCTATCTAACCAATCTAATCTATCTAATCTATCTAACCTATCTAACCTATCTAACCTATCTATCTGTCTATCTGTCTATCTGTCTATCTACCTATCTATCGGTCTATCTATCTATCTATCTGTCTGTCTGTCTGTCTGTCTGTCCTATCTATCTGTCTATCTATCTGTCCTATCTATCTATCTCTAATTACCTGACTTACATCGCCCATGGCACATCCTTACCCCCACCAGCCCCCACTGTGCCGTGGTGCAGTGAGTTGAAGAGCTGCAGGTTGCGGCGGCGGAAAGCGACGCCATCCGGACCGTAGAAGGGCCAGAGGAAGCCATGCAGCAGTCCTCAGGGCGTCGCACCGCATTGCCGTGGCGGATGGCGTTTTTTTCCGTTTTTTGTTGGGGTTAGGGGCTGCATAGCTTTGGATTTTTGAAGGAAAAAAAGATTGATGTATATTCATGGAAGGCCAATGCCATAAACTATCCCCAAACCCCCAAAAAAAAGATGGAACAAGTCAAAGTCACTATTTCAATGTGGAGCTTTGCTTTTCGATCTTTTTTGGGCGGTGACTGAAACCATTTAGAACATTTTAGAACTATATAAGTGTTTAACTAATGATCATTATCATATGCACTACATACTATTAACTAAAGTAATAACAATTGTGTATCCTTTATCATCGAAGTAAAAGGGTTACAACCCCACAACCCCACAACTGTCATGAGCTTCGGCGGCTTTTCATGGATCCCGACAGTGTGAAATGTCAAGTTCAAAACGACCAACACGACCAACATGTGAACACATGAATTATAGTGGGCCCACAGAGGTACCTTATGTGTATATATATATACATACTGGTTGGTGGTTTCAACCCCCTCGAAAAATATTAGTCAGTTGGGGTTACTATTCCCAATATATGGAAAAACATGTTCCAAACCACCAACCAGTATATATATATATATATTTACCTGGAAATTATTCCGTCAACCGCGGCACATCATGGACTTTTGAGTGTTAAATTTCCATGTGTCACATGCATTCTTCATCCATCATTTCATCTTCACATTTTTCTTCAATTTTCTTACCCTTTGCCGAGTGATACAGACTTTGCCCCCCCATTTTGTTTATCAATGATGTCCCAATTTAAATGTGAAAAAAAAACATCTCACGATTTTCCCAAGATCCACAATATTTTCCCAGATGTTTCCCAGGAATTTCCATGTTTTTTGAATAATAAACAGCAGGTTTCCATAAGTTTCCCCAGCATCTTCCCCCTGGTTCCCCCCCTCCACACCACGCGGCGTTGCCCTGCCAGGAAGGCCGCCTCCTCGTGCTGCAGCACGGCGCAGAGCACGGCGCAGAAGGCACCGAGGCCCTCGGCATGCTGCAGCGATGGGTTGGCCGCCAGGAGGGCCTTGGCGCGACCCGGTGGTGGAGGTCAAAGGTCAAAAACATGTCATTTTTCAGTTTTTTCTGATTAAAAAAACGTGTTTTTTTGTACCATTGTTTTTTGACTTCGAACGTTTTTTGGAGGTGTCTTCTTTTGACCTTCTAGTTGGTCTTCTTTTGGCTTTCTAAAATGTGTCATGGTCCTACACACTGTCCTTTGTCCTTTGGACTCTTTTTCAGACAACGTTCTCTTGAATGACTCTTTTTTTGAACATCTTAGAACTAAATTGCCATCAAATGAAAGCGAAGAAAGTGATACACTCTTGAGTTACCCTCTGGTAAACAAACATAACTATGGAAAATCGCCATTTTGATGGGTAAATCAATTATAAATAGGCCATTTTCTAGAGCTATGTTAGTTTACCTGAGGGTATGTACAACATGCCAAATAGGTCGCAAGATCATCTTAGGGAAGCTCATCATCATATCCAACTCGCAGCAGTTGAGCAGGTGGCAGTTTGGATGAAGGGCATCTGTGAATCAATGAATTTCTGAATCTTTTACATTAGGCAACCCATATCCTTAAACAGCTTTTGCAACCGCACGAAAAAGTGTAATTTGCCGGCGAAAAGGCGTAATTCGCCGACGAACAGGCGTATTTGTTCTTTTTAAGTAGATTGGTGTGTCTTTTGCTGTCGTTGAAAGGTATTGATCCTGAAGCTCAGATGCCTGACAGATTAAATGGACAGGGCAAATGCCAATGAAGCGACAGAAGAACCTGCCAGGATTTGCTTTTGTATTGAATCTAAGCGATGGAAATGCCAAGTCTCTGCAACGTTCTGGGGATGTATGATTTCTCTTTCACTTAGAGTCCGCTTTGACTAGTGACCAGTGAGGCTCCTTTGAGTTTAAGAGGCTTCTTCCAAAGTGTCCAAGGTAATCAGTCATGGGTTTCTGTTGTGGTATTTCACTTGATCTCTCTGGGGTTAGTGAAGGCTGCGAGGTAGCCACCCAAAAACTTCATGACAGAATAGGGAAGAACATGAAAGAGCAACAATTAATGGAAAAAAAACGTGTTTTGGGCGAAACGCAAACAAAAACAGCAATTTCAGCTTCGAGCGATAATTTTGCACATCCAGAGGTGATAGGTATATAATAAATAAATAGACAAACAATAAATAAATAAATAAATTGAATATTCCACATTTACTTGGAAGTATGATTGGAAGTATAATGGCCATATAGATGGAATAGATGTATGAAGTATGATTGGAATAATAGGCCTATGATATATTTTCTAATAGAGAGATGGTTCAAATGGAAGATATGGAGATATGAATATCCATTATATATATACTGTATATATATAAATATGTGTGTGTATTTGTCGCGGCCACATCAATGTCAACGGGAGATAATTATGGAATATTACATAGAAACGTAAATGGTTAATATAAATCTTAAGTTTATAAATGGTATGTAATTGGCATATCAATGGAATGTATATATATATATACGTTGGATATGCTATACATTGCATATACAGTGCATATAATTCCATATTTTTCCATGAGACCATACTGATGATCAGGATGATCCAAGTTTTTTTCTTGAGGAAATCATAGCCACAAGGAGGCAAACTGATCATGTTGCCCCCTTTCTGATCTTGTTTCTGGGGAATTAGGAGCAGCCTCATGATCATGATGATGATGATGATGAGGAGGAGGAGGGGGAGGAGGAGGGTGATGGTGATTGTGATGGGGATGGTACATGCTGGTACTTGATATGAATCGACCTGTTCTTCATAAAACGATAAACAAAAATCATTGTGGATGACTACTATGCTATGGTAATGACTCAACATCATCATCATCGATCATAGGCGGTAATACAACGTAAACAACATGTTATTTTAAGATCCCCATGGTCTCGCCATCCCAATCTCCAGCCCCTTGATCCTACCCCCGGTTTTACCCTCTGGTAATTTAACATAGCTATTGAAAATAGCCATTTATAGTTGATTTACCCACAAAAAATGGTGGATCTTTCCATGGCTATGTTAAATAACCAGAGGGTATATCCCCATTCTGAATACAGCTTTACAGCGGTCAACTCCGAGATGCATGAATCAAACGATCCAGTCGTCCAAGCCTTGACCGAGAATTTCCAGCTTCAGAGGTCGACAAATGACTCGGGACGCTGCGAAGGGCCACCTTCCACTTTTCGTCCTCGAGAACTGAAGGAGGGCCTTAGAAATTGATGATTTTGATGGCACCAAGAAGCCGAACCGAACAGATTCTTGAATGATTCTGTCCCTCTGCTAAATAAACATAGACCCCGAAAATAGCCAATTTTTAATGGAAACTAGTCTTCCAACCCCTATCTGCCAGGGTCTATGTTAATTTACCAGAGGATATATAAATCATGTCTCTGATATTCAATGTTTGTAATGATTTCATCCGCAAGATCGGCGTGAAATGATGTGAAATATGACTCATTTAGTGATGCCAAGATACTACCGCCCCCTCTCTCCAAGAGGTAGTTTCTGGAGCCCCGGGGCTCCGATGTTAATGGTGCGGTCACCAAGCTCCTTGGTGGTGCTGGGCCAAAAAAAGCCGGAAAAAGAATCACATCCCTGCACAAATCCATACACATGAAGGTTGAACTGTACCCAAAAGGAGACTACTTCCTACAGAACTAAAAGATATCATAAGGGTTAACTGATTGAAGCAAATGCATCCTTAAGGCAAATTGTTTTTAAATGGAAGCAACTCCGGATCACTCTACCACCTGGCGGGGGTGGGTGTCGCATCCTTAAAACAGTGATGATGAGTTTGGATCATTTCTGCTTGGCCGGGGCATAAAATTCGTTTGTTAACAGCAAATAAGAGTTTCTGTTTCTCCGAACTTGGACATTTCAGAACTCACAGAACCAGTTCCGAAGGAGTCTGCCAAGAGTCTCATAGAAGGGCGACCAGCACAGCTCATCCGATTGAAGCAATGGGGACCCACCCAACAGAGCCGACCAGATTTGGTCGCGCAGCACCTGGGACCCAGCGCCCGCTTTGTCTGCGAAGTTTTTCGGTTTTTACTTCTGGGTGGGCACAGAACAAAAGCGTTTCCCATTATTTGGATTTATTTGGCAGACCATAAAATGTAAACCATACTTCATGTAATACCTACTTCTATCATGTAGAAAACCCTTACAAAGAGATACAAACAGTAGGGGAAGCATTGGATGGATTGCTTAACCACAACCACACATCTCAAAATATTATGTAACATATGGGTATATATGTATACACATGTAGGTGTAAACGATGTCATGTTTTTGCTGGGGAAACCTAAAAATAGTTCATAATTTCGCTGGTTAAATCTTCTATTTGGTCGGCCAAACCATCCCAAGTGCTGATGGTAAAAACCCCAGCTAGGATGATTATACATCATAATTTTCAATTGTTAATGTATATGTCAATGTGAACTGCCAACCATGGATTCACAACATTTAATATAACCCCTGGTTGATTAATGGTGGTTCTTCGCAACTCATGCGTTCGCTGGGTACTCACATGGTGAATTGAACAAGCCAGGACTCAAATGCCAGGATTGACATTAAATCCCACATCATTTTTTGAGGCTTTAAAGATCATCATGTTGGGTCTTTCTCCCATTAAATCCCATAAAATCGCCCAGAAATCTTCATGTTGGTTTTCGAGCCTTTTTGACATGTTAGATCCCATTGAAATCCCATTGAAATCCCGTTGAAATCCCATAAAATCCCATACAATTCCATTAAAATCCCATAAAATCCCATTAAAATCCCATTAAAATCCCATTAAAATCCCATTGAAATCCCATTAAAATCACATAAAATCCCAGTAAAATCCCATTAAATACCATAAAATCCCATTAAAATCCCATAAAATCCCATTAAAATCCCATAAAATCCCAGTAAATCCGATTAAAATCCCATAAAATCCCATTAAAATCCCATAAAATCCCAGTAAAATCCCAGTAAAATCCTATTAAATCCCATTAAAATCCCATTAAATCCCATTAAATTCCCATAAAATCCAATTAAAATCCCATAAAATCCCATTAAAATCCCAGTGAAATCCCAGTAAAATCCCAGTAAAATCCCATTAAATCCCATTAAATTCCCATTAAATCCCATTAAAATCCCATAAAATCCCATTAAAATATCCTCATTGTTCGACGTCCGCAAGGCCTCCACCAAGACGCCGGCGGCAAATCCTCCTCCGACTCCCGCAGAAGCTCCACTCGACGCGCTGGCGCCGCCAAGAGCCGCGCGAAGCGCTTCACACGGAGCCACTGGTAGCTGAAATGCCGTTGGCGCGCCTTGGTGGATGGGCTAGCCCAGTCGAGTTCGCATTCGCCGCTTAAAAAGTGGCTGAATTAACTATGGTTTATAGTAGAAACGAACTATTTACTATGGGGGTTTTATGGTTTTGTTATAGTTTATAAAGCCACAAACATAACTGGGGGAGCCTCATTTGACCCATACATTCTTTTTGGTCCATTTTTTGCGTCTTCACATGTTCCCAAGATTCTCCTACAAGTGTTCCACCCTTGTCATAGTTCACCTGGCCAACCCAACCTAATCCTTCACTAGGTGCCATGGCAGGCAAAGACATGTTTTTGTCCAAGAAAATGGATGGCAAGGTGGATTTACAAGGTGTTAGCCGCTAGCCTGGTTATGAGTTGGTATATAATCTTATCTAAAACCAAATATGCCTCCCATAAAACTCCGAAAGATAGAACAGTGACAGTAATCTATCACTATTTCAGTAGGGATTTATTTCTATATCCAGCTCTATAATATCTTTCCCGATCATATTAAACACTCCCCAGCAGCTATGGTTTAGTAGGGGATTTACTTTTGAGACACATTTAGGGTGTGTTCAATATTATACTGATGGGATTGTGTGGTAAACTGATTTAAATAACTCTCTCACCTCTCTCTCTCTCTCTAAACAAACAAAGACTTGCAGAGTAAAAGCCTACTTGCAAATTTACAAGGGTATATCCAATTTTAAAGACCTCCGTTGGAGATGGTTTATGGCATTGGGTTTACCATACTACCCGAACTATTTGAAAAACAAAAACTGATACTTAACTATCTGTGTGTATATATATATATGTATATACACAAGCCACATATCATAACTGATATTTGTCTATCTGTGCATTTTTATGGGTAATGGTTATGTGGCTGTTTACCAGAGGGTAATCAAGAAATTTATGATTTTTATCTGTTATATACTGATAAACTGATAATCATTGACACCAAGCCACATAGATGGACTCGGGCCGCAGGTCCTCCAGGTCCTCCACAGTGGCCCGTTCGGCGGCGCGGAAGCCACGGCACAGCGCTGTGAGATCCACCGAGAAGGTACCTTGGAGATGACCAGCCCTGATTTAGGCCCTGAAAACCAATAGAAATCTGGAATTTAAGTGGTAAACATACAAAAAACTATAGAACATCACCATTTTGAATGGGAAAATCAACTATTTTAGGGAAAAATATGGGATTCAGCTATGAAAAGTGTGGATCATGTGGATTTACTGAATTTACTTAAGATCATAGAGATTTAAACAGATCTTTAGACCCGTTAAACCAGCCGAATTTTGGGATTTAACTCATCGATATCTGAGACTGGTGGTTTCAACCCCCCTGAATAACTATAGGGCTTGAACAAACACAGACAAACCTGATATCAAAAATGTGTGTAATTGTAGCTATAACACATTTAATAAGGCTAAACAAAAACACCCAATTATGAATACACTATTGTATAGTGATCAGGTAAGTATAGTGATAAGGTATGACGTGATAAAGCCAAACCACAATTATTTCATTGACATTCAATGCAAGTTGCTGTGCCGCATTCAAACTTCAACGCGTGTTTAGGTAGACTTTGAGCCATTTGGCCTTTGCGCGAAATCAAGCGACCAATGGACCCACGCTATCCATTTCTCTCAAACAAAAACATCTAAATACCATCTGGTCATCAAACATGGAAGTGGAAAATGTGTGAAGTGAAATTCCACCATATATATATAATCATATGTATATATATATATATATGTGTGTGTGTAAATATATGCATACATAAATAAATAAACAGTTGTGTCGCATTAATGTCCCATTAACATCTCTATTAAAACAGGACATCTCCCAGCCATTCTTCGGTTTTGCACATCGCCATGGCGAGATGCTGAATGGAGCCTCCCTGGGAGGGTCCCAAAACTTGATGCCGCTGCCGTGACTTTTTTCCTTGGCATCGCTGGGAAATGATCATACCATAGCAATTCATAGCTACCATGTGTGGGGCCCAGCCAGTTATAAGTTGGTGGACAGACCCCATTATATTTATAGTTTTTTTAAACAAAATATATAAGATAAGGTGTTGTAAGTATCAAAAACCACAGATATAATAGTTATCCGAGTTATACACCAACTTAACTATCCAGGAGGGCACACTTTGTATGGCACCCTATAGCAACCTCCACCTATAGCTAGAAGGAATCCATGCTGAACTCAGGTGGTGAGCTACATCAGAGTCTTGCCTGATTTAAGGTCCTCCAAGATCTCCACAAAGTGGGGCCCCCAAACGTTATAAGTTGGTTTATTTACCCAACCTAACTATAGTTATAACTACCATAAACCCTAGTTATTGTAGTTATGTTCACCAACTTAGCTATCGAACGGGGGCCCCACTTTGCAGAAAACCTCGGTCCCAGTTTCTTCGCTGAATTCCTCGATGCGACTTTCCAGGAACGTGCTGCGTTGCTCCTGGCGACCCTCGCCGTCCAGGACCACCAAAGGCAGACCTGGCAGCGCGGCGGCAACGACGGCAACGACGGCAACGAAGATCGCAGGGACAACCCCAACAAAAAGATGGCAGAGTAAAATCCGATTCGAAGATGATACCCTCTGGTAATTTAATATAGCTATTGAAAATGGCCATAGTTGATTTTCCCATTAAACATTGGCATTTTCAATAGCTATGTTAGTTTACCGGAGGGTATCTTTCTGAAAAACATCACATCTTTTGGGGAAAATCTTAGGGTTGACTATAACCAATGGGATCCAATGGTCAGGAATGCATCAACAACGCAACAACATCTCGCGGCTGATCTTGAATTTCGGCCATTTCAAAGCCAGATCAGTTGCTGATTTACCCTCTGGTAAACTGCCAAATAACGAACTGGAAAGATCCACCATTTTGTAGCTGGGCCATTTTCAATAGCTTTTTGTATGTTTAGAGGGTATCAGTTGGCAACTCATCCTACAATTCTGCTGGGCTTTCCTGTTCTCTGCAGCCACCTGGAACCGGAAAAATGGTCCAAACATTCTCTTGCCCACAACGTCCACGGCCTGGTGGTCGTCCCACCAATTTTCAACCACATGTTCCACCTTTCCAAAAACCAGTATAACCAGTTAGCCTCCATTGAGTTGGTGGGTTTCCCCATGGCAAATCCCATTGAACCCTCCATTTCTAGTGGATGTTCCCTACTTTTTCCAGCTTTATAAACCTTCACCTGATCATTTAGTTGGTGGATTTCCTATCTTTTCCCATATGTTCCTATGTTTTTCCGATTCAAACCTCCATTTTTGTGAGGAATTCCCATGGCAACTCCTGGATTTCGACCCCCGGGCGCCGCGGCCCCGTCCCGTGCCGCACGCAGAATGGGCGGCGTGGGGCGCAGCACCAAGCGCTCAGCCGCCACGCGGTAAGGGCTGCCGCCTGCCAGGCGCCACCAGTAGCTGAGTTGGGACACGTCCACACCGATGCTCCTGGCCATTGGGAAAATGCTGGGATATAGATATAAATATAGATATAAATATAGATATAAACATATATATATATAGAGATAAATATAGATATAAATATAGATATAAATATAGATGGATGTAACATAGCCAACAAATATGTTTTCCGGTATATGGAAACATGATGAAACATGGTGGTAAAGATGGTAAAGGAGGTTCTGCCAAAATCTGCCAATGCGATGGGAGGAAGTTGATCTTTGTTGCTATTTTGCAGGGTGCATCTAAAATCCTGGAGTTGAGTAGGTTTTGGGGTGCCTCCAGAAGTTTGAGAACTTGGAATGAAACCAAGATGTACTGTAGCAAACAAAACTGAGGATTTCCTCAACAGGCATGACATGAAATATGGGAGTCAACCTGCAAAGAATGTGAACTGAGCCAACATGATCCAAACATGGAGATGTTCCCAAACCCATATGCTCCATGTATGGAATATTTACCAACATTTACCCCATAAATGACCCAAATGTAGGTAAATATACTATACATGGAACATATGGGAAACATCAGCTGGCCGGTTGATGCTGATTGAAATTCTTATGAACTTCCCGGTTTCCTTTCTTCGAAGCAACAAACAAAAGTCCGCAACTCCAATGTCTGTCGGATCTGCCCAATATGGCAGTGTGTCAAAACCTTGTACCCCTGGTGAACATCAAAATAGCTGGTAAATGGATGTTCATCCCACTAAAAATGGTATTAATAGGTATTGATCCATACCCAATATGGGTTTTCTCGGATGACCGCACCCAGCTCTTTCTGCTGTGCAACTCCTTAGGTACTTTCCAGGCGTTGTGGTTTCATCCTCAAGCGGCTGACCCGTGCCACCTGGAGACAACGCGGGAGTTTGAAAAAGTCGAGGAAAACAGAACTTCAGCATACCGATGTAATCAACCGTGGCCATGGAAAGTCTCCCAAGTATATATATATATACACATATATATATATAGATATATATTGGTATATATATATATATATTATAGATGATCTTTCCTGTTGAAATGCCCATTTACAATAGATTTTCCAGGTTTGATTTCCAGATGGTACTTGGTGGCTTCACCCTCCTCCCGATTGGGACCTAGCGGGGAGGCCGACCAGGTGCTGTCCCCTAGCATAAGTCAGTGCAAGAGGGCCATCTGACTATATACTTATCATACATTAATCACGATATCACAACCCAAAAACCAAGGTTAAGCTGGTGTATATATATATATACATATATGTATATATATATTAATATATATACACATATATATATATATATATATATTATGTGTGTGTGTGCATGTGTGCGTGTATTATGTTGTATTATACCTATTATACTTATCATACCATCTCATACCCAACAAGCCTAAGCTACTTTTAATAAACACATGTTAATTATGACAGTTGTAAAGCAACTTAGCAAACTAGTTATGGACACGGCGTTTTCTCATGGTGCGGGAGTCGGCCCTGTCCAACCTCCGGGCAGTTTGGCGTAGGGTCTCCAGTGGCCAGTCTCCTGGACAGTTCGAAGCCATCCACGGTTGATCCAAAACTTTCTGTTAGGAATTTCCCAGTGGATGATGCCCATTCCAATTCTCATGCATTTTGTTCAATTTCAGGATTGACATGGAGTTTGCCATCATTTTCACGGATTTTTCCTCACTGAAAAAAAACAAACGTGCCAGGGCCATGCCCTGCGGGATCATCAGCCCAGGCCACACCTGGCAGCCCGAGGGCAGCGCCATGCAGGGGTGCGAGGCCAGATCTGAAGGCTTTGGGCGGGAGGCCTTTAAGGTAAGGCACCTGAAGGCTGAAAGATGCTGAAATCTGAGAGAGTTCTGAAAATGTTCTACAAGTGTGGGGAAGGAACTTGCCCCTTACCAAACCCGTTAGCCTCAGGGCCTGACGAATATCCTAGGTAATGTCAACCCCGGATTAATAAACCATGGTTTATTAATCCAGGGTTGACATTATCCCTCCAATGCAGGGAAGTGCAGCCAGGTTTGATTTACTGTAGTCTTTTTCCCTCCATTCATATGCATTTATAGTCATCCCCAAAAAGATAGGAAGGTAAATCCCCATGAAAAAAAACACCTCCTTCATGGTCCCAATTTAGTGGAACCCCCTACTAAACCATGGTTTCTGGGGTAGTGTTGAATATTGGGGGGATGGGATAAATGAAGATTCACACTGGTCTATTTTTGGGGGATTACTATCTATCTATCTACCTACCTACCTACCTATCTATCTACCTACCTATCTATCTATCTATCTACCTACCTATCTATCTATCTACCTACCTACCTATCTATCTACCTACCTACCTAACTAGCTATCTATCTATCTATCTATCTATCTCTCTATCTCTCTCTATATATGTATAGGGGGGTTCCCCCTACCATCATCCATTTATAGATCGATTTTCCATGTTCTAAACCATCCATATCCATATTATCCATTGGAAATGCCCCGTGGAAACCTCCCATAAAACGGTTGAGATGGAGATGGCTCCGTGCCGTGCCAAGCTGCTCCTCCCAAAAATCCTTCACAGATGGCTCCAATTTCGCCTCCAACGTCTCGGCACGAAGCCAGGTTCTGTGGGACGGCGCCCAAAACATCGGTGCCCAGAACACTCCAAGCAGTGGGGAACTAACTCACTGCTTGATGCCACCAGAATGAGAACCCTCAACTACCCTCTGGTAATTTAACATAGCTATTGAAAATGACAATTTACAGTGGATTTACCCATTGAAAATGGTGATTTTTCATAGTTATGTTAGTTTACCAGAGGGTATCCACCTCACAAGAAACTTGAACTGACCCCAGTTCAACTGTTTCAACATGCTTCAACTACTTCAGCTGTCAGCTGTCCTGTAGGACTGCTGCAGCTCCCTGGAATCTTCCGCCAGATTTTCCAGAAACGGAAGTCCGGGTCTCGTAGCGTCGCCTGGTGTCGGGGTTTTCATCAACAGAAGTACCAGGTATTGGATGTTGATGGGAAGCTTAGTGGAATGGGGGAACAGAAAACAAAGATATCAAATGAACATGATGGCATGATGGCAGCCAGGAAAATGCCAACGGGCAATAGTTAAACCAAGCACGATTGATGATACTGGTGGTTGAAGGCCAAACGATTGTGGCTAAAGTTTGCAGTTCAAATGGAAGGGACCAACAACGAGCAAAGTATGATGTCCAAGAGTTTGATTCACTCAGCAGGACATGCCATTCCCATGTCCCTAAATGAGCCTGCGGCTTTTACCAGTCGGCTTACCCAATGGCATATGCCAAAATATCTTTTTGGCAGCCATTTCACCCATAAAGAATAGCTTCAGCGTTCAGCACCCTAGGCTCTAGCCATTTTGAACCATTCTTAGCCATGACGATACGCCATGAAAATGACTATGTTACTGGTTGGTATATCCTCCACGCACCCCGGAAAGCTGACATTTAGCAGCTCTAGCAAGAGCTACTCTTATGACATTCCAATCATCCCAAGATGACCCAAAAAACCACACAAAGTCCTGAACTACCAAGTTGCTTTAACCACTTATTTCCAATACCCCATGAACACCCACCATTTTTCCATCATTTTTCGAGATAAAACCCCAGCCCAAGCCTCCCGTAACGCCATGGCCACAGGAATTCTGCAGCAGCGCCGGCAGCGTCGCGGCCGCGCCGTTACCCGCGCCGGTACTGGAGCTCAGGCGACCCAGGGCTGCGGCGGTTTCGGCAGCCACCAGGCAGCAGTGCTGGTACTTGGGGCTGTCCTTAAAGGTGACCAAGCAACAGTGCAAGGTGGTGCCCCCCAAGTTATAAGTTGGTTTGTAATCCCATTAACTATAGATATATCACCTATAAACCATAGCTATTGGAGTTATAAACCAACTTAGCTATCTAGGGGGCACCACCTTGTGGGGTATATCTCTATGGAGGTACCCCAACAACGCTGGTTTATAAGGGAAAATCCCAAGCAAAAATGGATGATGAACAGGGGTACCCCTATTTTTAGAAAACCTCCATATATGTATTGTACCTACAATCCCCTTCAGCCTAAATTTACTAATATTTAGGACATTAGGCTTGAACCAACTAGAATCCCTTCACCCTAATATGAAGGTTTTTGTCATAGGAGGAACGGATTACTTTCTGGAGACTTAATGGGATATAATTAAACATGTATAGTTGCAATAGTTGCAATATAATGGGTTTAAATTGTACTTAGTGCATCTTAGTGACATCTTGTGAAGATTTCTGAATCAAACCTCTGGCAATTTTTCCATGTTTTGGGTGGGCTGAATGGATAAGATTCATCCAAAAACGCCCAAATGTTCCTCTCCATTGATCCTCACACGGAGAACCCAGCATGGCTGTTAGTTGATGTTCAACCTGATTTCACTATGAAACGCCATGCTTTTTCGATCGTGAAACTACATGGCTGGCTGATAAACCAGCCAGGGATGCCTATAAATCCGCCCACACCGCTTTGGCGGTGAAGGCGTGCTTATTGGGGGGCAACAGCAACACTAAATGCTCAATGACATTTGTTAATATAGCAGTCGCCATATCAGCTTTAGCTGGGGGGGGGGGCCAAAAACGGTTTCGCACCGAGACCAGACCCCAAAACGGTTTCGCACCGAGACCAGAATTCGGTGGTGTTTTCGACATTTTTCGAAGATTTTTGGGTGTCTGAGCCCAAGAGGGTATTGAAATGGAATTTTGGGTCATTTTGGTAGCTTTCCGGCAATGGAAAAACGGCAAAAAATGAAAAAAACATAAAAAAACATTGTACATAGCAAGATTTTGCAGGGTTTTTGGATGCCAGAGCATTGAAAACACTGCAAAAACAAGTGTTTTGGACTGACGTTATAGCAAAAAACGTGTAAATTACCGTATGCTTGACTGGAAACATTACAAAAACACTGTCAAAAGCAATGTTTTGGAAGGATTTACTGCCTTTATGGCAAAAAACGTGTAAATTACCGTCTGTTTGACTGGAAACATTGGAAAAACACTGTCAAACACAATGTTTTGCAAGGATTTCTTATATATATATATATGTTGGACTTGGCTACCGGCATTGGAACATGGAAAAATTGAAGAAAACACTGTAAATAGCGGTATTTTCAACGGTTGGGGAGATAAGGGAATTGGAAGCATTGTCGAACATGATGTTTTCGACCGGTTTTATGGCGACAAAAGTGTAAAGTACCGTGCTTTGAAGGAAACCATTGCAAAAACATGGAAAACACATTCAAAGAACACGGGATTTGGGGGACTATCTAGGCGTCGTTGTCTAGGTATTTGAAATTCCGCAGCTTGGAGAGCCTCCAAGGGAGGGAAAAGTGAAAATTCCATAGCTTGGGAAGCTGTCACGGCGGGGAAAAGTGAAAATTCCCTAGCTTGGGAAGCCCCCACGGGGGGGAAAAGTGAAAATTCCCTAGCTTGGAGAGCCCCCACGGGGGGAAAAGTGAAAATTCCCTAGCTTGGGGAGCCCCCACGGGGGGGAAAAGTGAAAATTCCCTAGCTTGGGGAGCCCCCACGGGGGGGAAAAGTGAAAATTCCCTAGCTTGGGGAGCCCCCACGGGGGGGAAAAGTGAAAATTCCCTAGCTTGGGGAGCCCCCACGGGGGGGAAAAGTGAAAATTCCCTAGCTTGGGGAGCCCCCACGGGGGGGGAAAGTGAAAATTCTTAGCTTGGGGAACCCCCACGGGGGAAAACCACCCTTAGCCCCTCTCACGGACCGAAATAAACCTGCGGTGTGGGCGGCCACCCCACGCGAAGCGGGGTGAATAAACATGATTCCCCTAAACGTAAATATGCATCCATTGACATGATTTGGATACAATATACAGGTTTCTGCATGGTATTCGGTTCAAGCAGCTGGATAAGAGAGTCACCCAAGGGGGCTTTTCTGGCCTCCATTGTGTCATACCCAACTGACACCCCCAAACCGGTGCCAAGAGCTGCTTGTGATCTTGCTGCTGTTTGAATGCAGGCCACCACAACAACGCAACCATTGTCATTGTTGAAATCTGAAGTGCGTGTCCCAAATGAAAACACATGACTTAGACTTTAATCCAGCTGCGCCTAACCAAAGCATTGGTTTCAACCCAAATGTTATTTACAATCAACCACTGTAAAATGCTTGGGTCTATACCTGCAGTAATTATCCACTATTTGTTGGTTAAATCTCGTGTTCTCTCATTTCATGTCTTCTCCAATGGAATTCCGATTGCCGCCATTTAGTTAGATCATACATTCGACTATATCCCCATCACATGTCCCTGAAACAGTGGTTTCTACCAAAAAAGATCCAAACTACGAAAAAAAAAGAATTCAATGACCCATTTGTAGATGATTTATATACCTCTTAAACATTGCCATTTTCCATGAAAAATCTTAGACTACCAGCCTGGGTATACTTGAAGGATCATCCCAGTTAGTATCTGGTTAGTCTGCTTAGTATGTCCCCTAACTAGGCTTATCCCCTTGACAAAACATGGGTGATAACCTTATATCACCCAGTTGGTAAGTGGATCCTCCTACAGCATCCCATCCCTTTCTTCTGCGTTGGGGCGCAGTGTTCATCTCAAGCCATGGCCCCTGAAGCATCTGCAGAAGCAATATACCAAGGCCTTGGAATTCGCGAATTCCGGGGGATGTTGGGATGTTTCTGGATTCTGGGTAAATATTCTGGGAAACCCATCGCTGGCATAGTATAGGCATCACCTTGCAGACCCAACTGAGGTTGGGTTTTTAAATTTGCCATGGTCAAAATATGGTATTAATATGGAGGTTTCCATGGTCATGGGGATCCCCCGAAAACGCTGGATGGTTTTAAATCCATGTAAATCCCAAAATAAAATGGCTGATTTTGGGGTACCACCATTTTATGCAAACCCTCATATGCTCAACATATCTGGGAAAATAATTCTACTTCACTAGCCTGAAATAAGGCTATATGATATGTACAGTAATTGTCCCCACTAACGTGTGAACAGTGAGGTCGTTATCATTGACCCAGATGCGTAATGTGAAGGGAAAGGAGAATAACTATTCTCTAGTACCATTATGTGCCTTAATCTTTCTGAGAGCGCGGGAGTCTTTGTCTTTATTGATGTTGTTAATGAAACCCATACAGTTTCTGTGTATAGTCATAAGGACTGGTGAGTATTTAGGAATGACTCAAAATGCTAGGCCGCCCTCAAGACATGAATCCCACACATCAGCCAACGAAAAAGGAGGATTCCTCATCTCCACCGTTGAAAGTGATGTTCAAAATCTCCGTTCAACGGGACATTTACCAACCACTGGCTCTTGCAGGCCCATTGGTACATCATTGCCGCAGCCAAAACTCTGACCCAAGCGGCTCCAAACGTCGTGCTGGCAACTTGGTGGCCAGAAACTCCCTGTTGAGGCGCCTGCAAAGTGGACACTGTGGTGAAAACAGCATCAAACATGACTGGTTCGTGGTTTTAACCATCTTGAAAAATATGAAAGTCAATGATTGGTGGATTATCCCATATATCATGGAAAATAAAAAATGTTTGAAACCACCAGCCACATGAGGATTGACTGAAGCATCGATTTATGGATCCAATCCTTTCCAAGCATTGGCCTCGCCCCGGAAGAGATGAGCTGTTTCGGGGTTCGGATCGTAGGGATGTTGGAGGTGTCTTTTCCGAGCCATTTTTTGTGGGAATACAATGGGTATATGGTGGGAAAACAATGGAATATCATTGGGATGATGAAATATGATATAACATGATATAACTCTATAACGGTATATACATGTATATACGGTATCATTTCTATTGGGGGGTTCTTTTCCAGTGGGGGATCCCCCAACTCACCATGGCTTCTCTAAGGCCTACTCAAATTGTCGACCTGGATGATGACTGGTACCCCCAACTGCGGAAAACCCCCTTTTATTGGCTTTCTCTGAAACATTAAACTGGTTGGTGGTATACCTACCCCTCTGAAAAATATGACTTCGTCAGTTGGGATGATGACATTCCCAACATATGGAAACATAAAAATCATGTTCCAAACCACCAACCAGTAAACCATACTCCCCCTCCTTTTACCGTAGCGCAAAAAAAAAAATCCACGTTAACTAAAGTGACAATTCGGAGGTTTACTTCCATGTTAGTTGCAATGGGGGGGGGGTAAACTGCAAATTTGTGTTCTTTGGATTTGAGCCCTTTTTTTTCTGGCTAGTTCTTTTTGCCGCGAGTTCCCCGGGAATCCTGGGCATTTGTTGATTAACGTAGAAATTTTGAATTTTTCAAGATAAAGCTGGGAATGCCTCCATTTTTTAACAACCAACGATTGGAACGGATAATTTACATAGAAATTTGCTACTTGAAGTAGGATGTGGGCAGTGCCATGTTAGCGAGCGCTCGGTCCTTTAGCCATTTATTTGGGAGCTCAAATTCGTTGCGTGCCTTTGATTGTTCTACGCCATGGATCCTGGAGGGGGGACTTCAGCGTCTACGGCCAAGGACTTTCGTTGACGTGGATTTTTTTGACTTCATGGCATGGAGAAAAGTTTCTATGTTGGGGGGAAAGGATCTTTACAATTCATTTTTGTTAACATGGACTTTTTCTGTTCGGTTTTTGGTTACCTGCCCTGCTGCAGGAACCTTCTTCTGAGCAGTCTTTGGCCACTGCCCAGGACCGGGGTCGGATCGTGAATTTTTTTCCGCATACATAATTACAATGCTTACGCCGGGTAACTTTAACGTAGCACAAAAAACTTAAAACAAAAAATGCGGCACATATTAAACTGAAATAAACAACCTTTGTCTCAGGTGTCATGTTAACAAAAAACAGAGGAGGAAAAACAAATCTATTTTGTTTTTTGTTTTCTCATTTTTTTCACGCGTTCCCTGGGGATAAGATGCACGATTTTTCTTTATAAAACTTTTTATGTAAAATGCTCGATTTGTGAATTTTTGGTGCTGAATCCAGACTTGGACCCTTTGGTGATTGCTTTTAGGATATGGGCGACCAGCAGTTCAAGAGATGAAACACCAAACATGGAACGGAGTGCCATGTTAAAAAATCATGCTATTCATGGTAAAACCTTTGGTTTGGTACTAGGGTTCCCCATACTTCTCGGGAGGATTTCATTTCCCAAAAAAAATGAAAAGACATGAGTCCCAAACCAGGTTTTTCATATGATTTTTTTCTTTATTCAACTCTTAATGTAAAATGCTCGATTTGTGAACTTTTGGTGCTGAATCCAGACTTGGACCCTTTGGTGATTGCTTTTAGGATATGGGTGACCAGCATTTCAACAGATGAATCACCAAACATGGAACGGAGTGCCATGTTAAAAAATCCTGCTATTCATTGTAAAACTTTTGGTTTGGTACTAGGGTTCCCCATACTTCTCAGGAGGATTTCATTTCCCAAAAAGAATGAAAAGACATGAATCCCAAACCAGGTTTTTCATATGATTTTTTTCTTTATTAAACTCTTTATGTAAAATGCTCGATTTGTGAACTTTTGGTGCTGAATCCAGACTTGGACCCTTTGGTGATTGCTTTTAAGATATGGGTGATCAGCATGTCAACAGATGAATCACCAAACATGGAACGGAGTGCCATGTTAAAAAAATCATGCTATTCATGGTAAAACCTTTGGTTTGGTACTAGGGTTCCCCATACTTCTCAGGAGGATTTCATTTCCCAAAAAGAATGAAAAGACATGAATCCCAAACCAGGTTTTTCATATGATTTTTTTCTTTATTAAACTCTTTATGTAAAATGCTCGATTTGTGAACTTTTGGTGCTGAATCCAGACTTGGACCCTTTGGTGATTGCTTTTAAGATATGGGTGATCAGCATGTCAACAGATGAATCACCAAACATGGAACGGAGTGCCATGTTAAAAAAATCATGCTATTCATGGTAAAACCTTTGGTTTGGTACTAGGGTTCCCCATACTTCTCAGGAGGATTTCATTTCCCAAAAAGAATGAAAAGACATGAATCCCAAACCAGGTTTTTCATATGATTTTTTTCTTTATTAAACTCTTTATGTAAAATGCTCGATTTGTGAACTTTTGGTGCTGAATCCAGACTTGGACCCTTTGGTGATTGCTTTTAAGATATGGGTGATCAGCATGTCAACAGATGAATCACCAAACATGGAACGGAGTGCCATGTTAAAAAACCATGCTATTCATGGTAAAACCTTTGGTTTGGTACTAGGGTTCCCCATACTTCTCAGGAGGATTTCATTTCCCCAAAAAAATGAAAAGACATGAATCCCAAACCAAGTTTTTCATATGATTTTTTTCTTTATTAAACTCTTAATGTAAAATGCTCGATTTGTGAACTTTTGGTGCTGAATCCAGACTTGGACCCTTTGGTGATTGCTTTTAAGATATGGGTGACCAGCATTTCAACAGATGAATCACCAAACATGGAACGGAGTGCCATGTTAAAAAAATATGCTATTCATGGTAAACGTTTAGCCCGCGTATATAAATATATTTTCATGCATCATATGATCATTTGGCGTTTTTTTTTTAATGTTGGCTTCACACTACGGTAGCGCTGGAGAAGTGCCGCCAGGCCGCAACTGATCCGACCCCAACGGCTCCGCAAGAGGACGGACGAACAAAGGATAGGTTCTAGGCCTTTGAAAATGTTGATGGTTTACTTCCATGATAATAGAATTTGCCCCCGTGAAGAATTGAACACAATGAAATATACAATGTCGAGAATAAAGATGAATAAGTTAAAGATGCTATGTATATATATATATATACGTGATGCTATGATATGCCATGTAATAATGCTGCACATGGTGGGTGCCCTCCAGGAAGTGCCATCGAACGAGGAACAAACGCAGAAGGACCCGGTTCCGAGGAACGAAATAAACAAACAACAGGACCATTGGACCCGACGTACAAACATGCATACACTGACATCAAAAAATTGGATCTTTGGACCCAACTCATAAACATGGAAGGCGCAGAAATCAAAACCAGTTTTTAGTTTCGCGTTATTTTTTCTCAGGGTTGAGTTCAGCGGAAGCTTCTCCAGGGTGACCCACCATTGCAACTAACATGGAAGTAAAGTGAAGTAAACCTCCGAATTGTCACTTTAGTTAACGTTGATTTTTCCGCACCTGCCAGGTGAGGGTTGTTAGATTTTATACATAGCTCTTCGCGTCCTCCTCGCCCTCCTTTTCCTCCTCCTTCTCCTCCTCGCCAGCTCCTGATCGCAGTGGACACTCTATTATATGTCATGAGAGAACCATACTGGAAGCTGTTTAGGCGGAAATGAGATGAACCATGCTGGTATCTGTTTCACCAAACACACTGTAAACTACGCAAAAAGTTGTAGAAGCCTTGCTGCAATGTGTATTGGCATATTTCAGATATATTATACTATTAAAAATTGCAGAAATGTCACGGTGGGGTTCACTCGAAGTAATGTAATTTTCTTTTTTGCTCTACGGTAAAATAAAGGGTAATTTTTCATTCGGCGTGATCCTTGCCGCCGTCAAGGATGCGGCACCAGTTGATGAGTTGGACTTGCCAGCCAAGGACAGGTTCCCGCTTAGTCATATCCAAAGTGGAATAGAGCTTCCATGTTAATATTATGATCATTGGACATCCGACCAAACAGTTGTGAGAACTATTTAGAGTTGAGTTGAAACCAAGCATGTGTAAAGCAACATGGAAGCCACAGTAACAAAAAGCATTTTATATTTTCATGATTTTCATGTGTTTATTCGCATGAAGCCTTACGTGGATGGCGCCCTCAAGGATGTGGAGAAAGACCCGCCGCTGCTGCTATCAGTCCAAGGAGAAGCAAAGGACCGGGTTGGAAGCAGTTGCGTCCAGCATACCCAACCCATGAACATGGAAGTCAAAGTAATCATTTTTTGAATGTATTTTCATTCTGCGTGATGCTTCCCGCCGACAAGGATGCCGCACGAGTTGATGAATTGGACCTGCCAGCCAAGGACAGGTCCCCGCTGAGTCATACCCAAAGTGGATTAGGGCTTCCATGATAATACCGTTGGACATCCACTCGAACAGTTGTGAGAGTCATATCTTTATAGTTAGGTTGAGACTAAATATGTGTAAAGCAACATGGAAGCCACAGTAACCAAAAGCATTTTGTATTTGCATGTGTTTATTCGCATGAAGCTTTACGTGGATGGCGCCCTCAAGGATGTGCTGGAGAAAGATCCGCGGCTGCTGCTATCAGCCCAAGGAGAAGCAAAGGACCGGGTTCAAAGCTTTTGCATATCGCACAGCATACACTGACATCATAACATTGGATCGTTGAACCCAACCCATGAACATAGAAGTCAAAGAAATCATTGTTGAAGGTATTTTCATTCTGCATGGCGCTTCCCGCCGACAAGGATGCCGCACGAGTTGATGAGTTGGA